CTCTGTCAGCCGTGGCTCTATGGGTCACCCCTGAGGCAGTACTGAGAGAAAGAATGGCTACAATCAGGGACAAGCTGCCCCTAGATTTCAACCTTGACCAGTTTCTGGGCACAGAGGCTGCAACAGAACAGAGACCACAGGAAGCTTTTCTGATTTTGTTTTGTTGGTTTTGAGACAGGGTCTCTATATAGCCTTCTCTGCCCTGGAACTCGCAGTGTAGACCAGGTTGGCCTCGAACTCACATACACCAGTCTATGTCTGCCACCTCAGTGCTGGGATTAAAGGAGTGCTCTGTTGTTTTTCAAAGCAAACACTAATGAGGTGGCTACGAATGACCTTGGTGTAAACTCTTACCTGTGTGAAGAACACTGCTCTGTGGCTTGCTGTGTCTGGCGCTCTCAAACTTTACAAAATTGTCCCTACAACATTTCCATGAGTTGGAGCCCATCCTTATGTGCAGTTCACAGCCCAGGGCTTGAGGGAGGACATGAGAACCTAAAGTGGTAAGTTTCAGGAAGACCTTAGGACCTACCTGGTCATCACTGACTCAGCCCCACGTTCTGCTTCCCATCCCTGAAACTGACAGTGGACATGGATCATCCCAGCCCAGAGCCCAGTGGAATTCTCAGGCTGCCTTGGTGGCAGACGGAAAGGGTGCCACTGCTGTATCAGGGCTATGCAGAGGCTTATGCAAAAGTCTAGCCTTTGTCCACCTCTGACGGCAGAGTTGTGACTCAGAGCTGCTGGCCTGCTGTAGGGCAAGGAAGGAGTCCTGAGTCCATCCTGTTGGGTTGGGCACGGAGACCAGTCTGGTGTACTTGGACCCAAGGTCTAAGGCACAGCTGAGCCTCTGCTGAGGTCATCTGTCTTTCCTCCCACCACCCAAGCCTCCAGCCCAAGGTTAGTCCCTTTGATTCCCAGAGCAGAATTCACCAGCTGTGGTCAGAGAACCAGGCAAAAATAGTTGCCCAGATAGTGTTACCAAGCACACGTGACCCTTGACTGATAGTCTGGCCTTGGGCTTCATTTCTTTTCCACCTGTAGTAAAAGGATGAGTTATCCTACAGTTGTGAAGTGATTACACTCGTAACAATAACAAAACAACCAGCTGCACACACAACAAAAGCGTGTGTTCACCGAGACCTTGACACTGATGTCCTGTGCTTCGGGCTTTAAATGTGTGATTTTCCTGTCGTCCACGCCACCTGCCTAGGCAGGGGTCATACATAGCCAGGCTATTTAGCTTTCCCACCCAGTGGACCCTAAGGGTGCCTGATGTCTCATGGAGTGATCCTGTCGGGTGTGCAGCCCTGCACAGCGTCCTCAGGAAGACCTCGGGGAGAAAATTCCTCCCGGGTGCTGAACCTTGTAGTGCAGTATAGCTCCAGAGTTGGTCTGTAGATTTTCATTGTGTAGACCAGACTGTAGTCAGGGGTAACCTTGAACTCTAGGTCCTCCTATCTCTGTCTCCTGAATTCTAGGATTGCATCACTGCTGGCTTGGACATGCTTTTGTTTGGTCATTTGAGATGGTCTCACTATGTAGCCTTGGCAGGCTGGGAACCCTGTATGTAGACCAGGCTGACTCAGGACTCATAGAGGTCCACCTGCCTCTGCTCCCCTCCCCTAATGCTGGGATGAAAAATGTGCACCATCATGCCTGGCCTTAGATATGCTTTTAAATAGATGAATCCTGTTTTTCTTTTTGCCTTGCCTACCAAGACTCACAGAAACCTCTTTCATGGACTACTTCATTTACCCAGAACGTCAAGATGTATTTGGTAGACAAGACCCAATTATAGATTCCCCTCCCTTCATCCTGATATATAGCATATTTATCTTTTTGTTTGTTTCTCAAAACAAGGTTTCTGTGTGTCAACCTGGCTATCCTGGAACTCACTATGTAGACCAGGCTAACTTTGAACACAGATCTGCCTGCTTCTTCCTGCCAAGTTCTGAAAATAAAGGTTTCGCGCCAGCACAACCAACAACACGCATTTTAATAATTTGTCTTACATTTGGGAGACTCAAACTACCCTGTCAAAATGTCCCCCTAGACTGAGCACAGGACACACACGCATTGAGTGTGAACCAGACGCGGCTCTGTCTATGATCCGCAGGCCACCGAACAAGCAGGACCAGAGGGAAGCTCTGGTTCGGTCTGGGGAGCCCAAGAGAGTGATGGGAAGTCTGCCAGGTCCTACTCCAGCAGTGCTGTCTTAGTTCTCTACATGGGGGGGAGGGAGGGGGCGCCTGTGCCACAGCTCATATGTGGAGGTCAGGGGACAACCGACAGGAGCCGTTCTCTTCTTCCGTGTGGCTCTAGGGACTCGGGGTGAGGGTTAGTGGCGGTCTTTACCTGCCCAGCCACCTCCCTGGCTCCAGTTTTGCAATGCAGTCTCCTGTAGCACCAAAGAATGCTATAAAGTGCCAGGTGGCGGTGGAGGCTCACACCTTTAATCCCAGCACTTGGGAGTCAGGGGCAGCCAGATCTCTGTGAGTTCAAGGCCAGCCTGGTCTACAGAGTGAGTTCCAGGACAGCCAGGGCCACACAGAGAAACCCTGTCTCAAGAAATAAAACAAACAACAAAAAACATCCCATTGAAGTAGACAGTGTGATTGATTTTGCCCTCATTTTCATGTAGTCCGGGCTAAGAACCTCAGGAGGAGGAGCTCTCCCAGAGAGTTAGCTGTTGGGAGATGGCCAAGCCACAGTCAAGTCCTGGCCTCCTACCCCTTCCCTTGCATCTGGTGGAGTGTTGGAAGGACCGGGGACTTCTAACATCTAAGGAGAGTGTAGTCAGAGCAGAAATGAAATTGACAAAATCAAAGAAAAAGGCAACGTTTTGGCTTAGGTGAAGAGCCCTATAGTGGTTGACATCTGGTGTGACTGCATCCCGGAGCTAACACAAAGTCTTTTTCGTTTGTTTGTTCTCAAGAAGGGTCTGCTGGGCGGTGGTGGTGCACGCCTTTAATCCCAGCACTCGGGAGGCAGAGGTAGGCGGATCTCTGTGAGTTCGAGGCTGGGCTGGACCGAAAGCCTCCAATACAATACAGAGAAACCCTGTCTCGTAAAACCAAAAAAAAAAAAAAAAAAAAAAAGAAGAAGGGTCTGCCTCTGGAGCAGTGGGATTAAAGGCTTGTGCCACCATGACTGTGTTTTTGTTTCCTAGTTCTGCTTACCTTAGTCTTGGGTTATATTGGTTACTTGTTCTGGTGACATTAAAACGACTGTGTGGTGCTGTTGTCACTTTCTTACAGTTTAGACTCCAAACATGGAGGGAGAAATCTATCCTTTCAACCAAATAAAGCCTTTTTTATTTTTAAAGATTTATTTATTTATTATGAATACAACATCCTGCCTCCATGTATGTCTGCAATACCAGAAGAGGGCACCAGATCTCATTACAGATGGTTGTGAGCCACCATGTGGTTGCTGGGAATTGAACTCAGGACCTCTAGAAGAACAGTCAGTGCTCTTAACCTCTGAGCCATCTCTCCAGCCCCCAACCAAATAAAGCCTTTTATTTGAGACCAATCATTAGGTTTGTTTATATATATTTGAAGACACTATGTAGCCCAGGCTGACCTTGACCTCATCATCCTGTCCCTCCTCTGTGCTGGGATTGTAAGCACAGGCCACCATGCTGGGGTTCTCATTGATTCTTATAACCAAACCTGTCCATTTGCTGTGGCCCTAAGCCTTACTGTCTAGACCTCAGTCACGCGCCATGTGGGGCGGGGGGGGGGAAGGGGGGTCCTAAAGGAAACTAGAAGATCATCACCTGGACAAGGGCTCTTGGGCTATTTGGACCTTGGTACCCATGGCCGAGGGTGGGATGAGGAATGCTTTGTGGGTGGGAAGAAGCACAGAGGAGGACCCCCAAGGGGCGTAATTAGGAGGCACAGGGCAGCACTTTCCGTCCTGTGAATCAGGTGGGCTCCCCTCAGCTACAGCAGCACTCAAGGGAGCCAGGCATGGCTTCAGGCTCCCTTCTGGGGATGGACACCACAAATGGTGGTTCTTGGTTCCTGTGGCACCCAGTGTCTGTGAGACACACCGCAAAGCACACAGCATGTGCTCAATAAATGCAGATTCCAGCTCCTCCCCAGAGACGTGAGGACAGCTTCACCAGGACTTTGAAGAACCTGGAGCCCAGCCGTTTGTGGAGGATCTGGTGCTCTCTGAGGATTTGCCCTCGAAGACCGGAACCTCAAGGGGGCACAGCAGTGTCTGAGGAAGCGGCAACTCCCCCAGACCACTTGGCTTGGAGGAGGCACGCAGGCTGGTGATCTGGTGTGCAGGCCCCTTTCCCACTGTGTGGTAGGATGAAATTAACTTGGGGACCTGTGCCCTCCTGGGGGGCCACCATTGTGGGTGGGTGGAGCCCCTGGAAAAATGTTCCTGTCCTTTGATTATCTTTTCTTTGTTTTTGTGTCTTTGAGATAACATCTCACTATGTCTGGTCTGGAACTTGTGGCCTGGAACTCACAGGAATCCACCTGCCTCTGTCTTCTGAGAGCTGGGATTAAGAACATAAGCCACTATGTCAAGTGTTGGTGCCCCCTCTGAAGGCCTGCGTTGTGGGAACAGATACCAGGCTGCGAGGGCCTTGTCCAAGCCACAGATGCCTCTTCATGCCAGCCTCAGGGGTTGCCCTGGAGGCCAGGTGCTTGGTGGTTGTGTCATTACAAGTTCCCTCATCCCACCTGACCGCCCCACCCACCTTCTCCACAGGCCCCTGCCACTGAAGAACGGCCAGGAGAGGACAGGAGGTCCTGGCGTGCCCTCTGACGATCAATACCCGCAGCACACTGCAGGACCCTGAGCTGGGCATCCCTGGCGGCGGACCTGCCCGTCCCTCCAGGACCGCAGCCCTAGGGCCTTGCCTGCTCCAGCTGCCTCCGGCACCTTCTGGGGAGGTGTGGTCTCTGTACAGTTAATGATTGCTCAGAGGAGGCGGAGATGGTGCCAAAGTCTGCGGCTGTGTGGCTGCTGTCCCCAGACCGTGCCCACCTGTGACTGGCGCTCATCCCTGCCTCTGAGTCCCTTCCAGGGCACCGGTGGGGGCCGTCCAGCTCAGCTGCCTTGGGGGCTCCTAGCCAGGGGTAAGTGGGGTCCTTGGGATTGAGGCAAGCTTTGGGTCCTTCAGACTCATTTGCTGGCATCTGGGGTGAGGGGGCACCGGTGGGCGGGACCAGCTGTGGCACTAGCCACTTTACTGGGCTGGGCAGAGCTGGGCTTGAATTGGTGAAGCTGCCCGTGAAGCCTGTTTCTTCTAGAATGTAGGGCTAAGACCTCCTCTCCAGGCTGTGGCAGGTCCTTGTTCTGCCTTCTCAAGTCCCTGGGGTATTTGGAGCAGCCAAAGGGATCCTTCAAGGCTGAGGGAGGAGGAATTAACCTCCTCAGCTGCTATCTAGGAGATGAGGAAGATGGCTGAGTCTGACGCTGGGCCTGAGGGGAAAAGGCTGGCTCCTTTCTGCTAGGCTCAGAGCTTCATTCAGTTCCATTCATACTGTGAGTGGGCTGCTGACTGCTTTGGGGCCTCAGTTTCTGCATCTGTAGAGTGGGTGTGGTACTTCTAGTAGTCCCTGGAGGGTTCATGAAGCAGGCAGGGAGGAATATGAAGGCTGTCCCTCACAGACTCAGAGATCAAGTGCTGGGTCACCTCAGGGAGCACTAACCATGCTGGTCCCAACCCTAGCTCAGTCCTTGTCCTGGTCACAGGGTGGAGACTCAGCCAGACCAGCCCTTGTTCAGACAGGACTCACTTGCTGGTTGGCTTGAGGCAGCATTTCAGAGAACACTGATGTTCCCCTGGTCAGCATAGGCCTTAGCCTGATCGTCAACGTGCTCCTCAACAGGGAAATCGTAGCTGAGGGAGAGGGAGGCTTGCCTGGTGCTGGACAGCCAGTGTGTGAAATGCTGGAATCCAGACCTGGGACCTGATCCGTACCTGTCTCCAGAAGAAGCAGGCTGGGGGTAGTCTCTGGTGTCCCTGGGGGATGGAAGCTAAAATACCCCTGGCTCCCTGTCTTTGCTGCTGGACCACTTGGCAGGACTGGTGGGATCAGGAGAGACCCCTGTGCGACCTCAGCGGGGCACCTGGGTCCAGCCTTGCCTGCGTGTGGCTGGTATCTGACCCTCTTTGTTCCTGGCTGTCCCTCCAGATTGCCAGTGTTTTTAGGACGGCGCCTCCTGGGGAGCAGCTGTGGGAAGGAGGAGAGAAAGCGGAAGTGAAAGGAAGGCAGCTGAGCTGGGGATGAGGAGGAGTGGGGTGGCTGTGGGTGGGGGAGCCCACGCTGGGCTTTTGACAGAGGAGGGGCCCCTTGCCCTGTGGTCCTCCCAAAAGTCCTGGGTAGGTCTGGGGTCCTCACTCCTAGTGGATCGAATTCTAGAGGTGTTCGGTTTCCTGGAGTTTTAGGTGTGGCCGAAGCGGCTCTCTGAGCTGGGGGGAAGGAGCCCTTGCTGGTCAAGCCCAGCAGAGGATGTCCCAGTTCTGGGAGTTCATAGGCCAGCCCGGAGCCCCGGATGCTGCTGACTTTCCTCAGATACTTTAGAGTGTGAATGGAAGTCTGTTTTTGGTTTTAACTGACACCGAGTGATGGGACATATTGATGAAGCGAAGCCCAGCGTTGCCACATCCATTAATTCAAGATTAGATCAGGATATTTGGCCCATCCATCTCTCACCCCAGACAGGTCTCACGTCTTTGTGTTGGGAGCGAGCAAACTCCTTCTCACTGGCTAGCTAATTTGAAATATTCAGTAATTTCCCCCTCACAGCTACCCTGCTGTGGAAGAAAGCCTCCACTCAGCCCTGAATTAGCGGCACAGGAGCGGGAGCTTGGGAGCAAGGGCCTGGGATGTGTTGGGTCTAGATTTGTTCTCTCTTCCTCTCCCTATCTCCATCGCTCCTCCCTCCCTCCCTTCCCGCTTCTCTGTCTTTTACAGGCTCCTTCTTTGTAGCTCAGGCCTCGGGCCTCCTGAGTAATGGGGTGTGGGCTGTACTCCAGGCCCGGCCTCCCATTGAGAAGCAAACTGTGTCAGGTGCCCAGCCGCATCTGTGGGGTCTCACTTCACGCCCAAGTTTGGCTTGTGGTTCTTCACAGGAGAAAACGGGGGAGTTTCCCTAGCCCCAGTCTGTGGGCAACCCCCCCTTTCTTCTCTCTTATGTCCTGAACAAACGTCCCCTGACTGGGGCTCAGAGGCTCCATTTATGACCTTAACCTTGAAGGACAGACAGAATTTGCACAATGTCAAGGGAAACAGAAGGCCTTTCGGGCAGAGAGACACATGCAAATGCAGCGTGAGATCGCAGGGTGTGGACAGCGGACAGGACACCCACAAGGGGGGAGAGCCACTCGTGGAAGAGACCCAAGGCCCCTGAGGACATGGCTCGCCAAGGGTGGGAAGTGTGTCCCACAGCCAGCGTGAGCCTCGGACGCGCATGATCTTGGGAGTGTCTGTGTCCATCCAGGTGACGCGGGTCACCTGGTACTTTCTGACCTCACAGCACATTTTCTTAAGTGATGGAACCCAGCAGACAATGCTACAAACCGCGGGACTTTGATCTCGTTATGGTCAGTGACAGTGTTTGTGAAAAGTCACAGTGACAAAGGGGACGAGAACCTGAGACCTAGGGTCAACTCACGCAGTATGGGAAGCGGGACCAAAAGGAGCCCTGGGCGTGGCCCCTGTGACTGGATGCTGGGCAGGAGATCCAGTTCCCCAGAGGTTTAAGGTTCCCGAGAGGCAAAGAGGTGTGTCTGAGCCGTCACTCCCTCCCAGGAGCTAGTGACGAGGCAGGGGAGATGGCAGTGTGCAGATGTGGGCCACTGTCACCTGAGTCACACTGGGAGAACAGGACAGGAAGTGACGCGAACTTGGATGAACAGTGGGCAGTAAGGGCTGTGAGTGGAGACCTTGGTGGCCAGGGAGGATGAAGGTCTCAGTTTGGTGTCCTTTTCCTCAAGCTCACCTCTCTGGGGGTACTATGGAGCCTGGGGGAAAACGCGGCACACCAGAGAGACCGGGAGGAGGGGAAGGAGGGGGAGGAGGGGAAGGAGGAGGGGAAGGAGGAGGGGGAGGAGGGGGAGGAGGAGGGGAAGGAGGAGGGGGAGGAAGAGAGAGGCAAAGCCCTGAAAAGAGAGAAGAAAGATTTGTCCTCTGCGGAGCATGGAACCCAGGCCCTGTGCACGCCAGCCTGGTGTTCTACCACTGACGTACATCTCCAAACCTTTTCAATTTTACTTTTTCTAATTGCAAAAATTTTTATATGGTTCGTTTTTTCGAGACAGGGTTTCTCTATGTAGCTTTGGAGGCTGTCCTGGAACTTGTTCTGTAGACCAGGCTGGCCTCAAACTCACAGAGATCCACCTGCCTCTGCCTCCCAAGTGAGGGACTAAAGCCGTGTGCCACTGCCTGATGTTAAATTTTATTTTAAAGTGCAGTCTCCCATGTTTCTATGCTAGCGCTGGAATCTCAGCCCTCCTGCCTCTCCCTCCGACTAGCTGGGGCTGCAGGCACACCACCTCACCCCCCTGGACCGGGGTCCCGTTAGTGACTGTGGTGGCTTCCTCCCAAGCTTCTTTGCTAAGGACATGATAGCGTGTTCAAAGGGCCAGCCCGGCACCACCCTTCATCATAACTCCCTTTCCCATGGTGAGCTGGGTGGAGAAACTTCCTTCTTGGGAGATTGGCTGAGATGAACTTTGTGACGGGGGTGAACTGCGTGTGTAGTGACTGATCAGCCTGTAGCTGCTTCTTTACTCCCAATAGAAGGAATAGGACCGGAGAAAAGGCAAAGGCGTTAACTCGAAGCTGTAGACCCGTGGAGATGTCAGGTCCTCATGTGCCCTGGCGGCAGGAAAGCCCTGCATGTTCTTCGGCGTCAGAGCTCTGGTGTCCCTCACTCTCATCCATCACCACCGGAGATCACACCATCACCCCCGTAGTCCCACCTATGTGACAGGAAAAGATAGAAGACCCAGAGACTGATACTGGGGGTTCAAGCTCCAAGCTGAAGGTCAGAAAAGCAAAGCAGCCGGCCACTAGCTTCTTACGTCCGACTCAGGCTGGATGGGCTGGTCTCGTCTCCATGAGCCTCAGACTGTAACCTTTCCTCAGTATGAATGAATGTCTCCCTGAGTCTTTGCTCCTGTTTTACGTTCTTCCCTAACGTTGGGATTAAAAGTGTGAGATATAATTCTCTTTTAGACTGAATCACTCTTGTGTACATCTGGGTGGCCTTGGACTCACAGAGATCTGTCTGTTTCTTAATCCCGAGTCCTAGGAGTAAAGGTGTGTGCCACCACCTCCTAGCTTCTGGCTGCTGGGAGTAAAGGTGTGTGTCACCACCTCCTAGCCTCTGGCTGCTGGGATTAAAGGTGTGTGTCACCACTGCCTGGTCTCTATAGCTCGAGGATGACTTTGCTTTAGTTGCCTTAGTAAATCGTAAACAATCTGTCACCACATTCTAGACCCTACTGTCATCCACCTGCCGCCGGCACCGCCTCCATGACCACACCGTCTCCTCCGTCAGTTCTGCCTAGATCCCTCTCATCCACTCGCTAGCATCTCCACCCCGCACCATTGCCCCAAACACAGACCTTGTCTTCGTTCGCAGCAAGCTCCCTGGTGACTTCAGTGAGTACAACGGCTTCACCTTGCCGGCAAGGTGAAGCCGCCAGCTCCGCACGGAGGGAGGGCTCAGGTCTGTGGAGCGCCTGTGGGCAGGTGAGCAGAGCACAGGCTCCCTCAGAGAGTCACCCGCTAGGACTGACTTCCACTCCCGCCGTCACTGGTCCTGTTCGCTTGGTTTTCACAAGTCCATCTTTTCACTCCGCCAGAGATGCAAGCCTCCCGCGGAATGTGGGAGCCCCTGGTCTTCAGGGCCCACCGGAGGCCAGCTGCATCCCACTCTGGGGCTTGCAACCTTTTTCCTGACTCCAGCTGACTCGTATACTTGATTTCTGAGAGGCAAAAATCTGGGCTCAGTCTAAGACTGTGTGGCCAATAATTTTAGTGGGTATAGATAGAATAATTTTAGTGGTTATAGATAGAATTCCAGGTTGGAAATCATTTGTTTTCAGCATTTTGCAGAAATAGTGTCCTGGCTACTCACTGCTGCATAATTAAATATTGCAGAGCACAGCGGCTTAAACAGCAATTTATTGTTATTAATGCTCATGATTCTGCAGGAGTTTAGATTAGGTATAGCAAGAATTGCTCAACTCTGCTCAGCTAGGATTTTGTGCAAGGCTGTAGTAGTGGAATTGAGTGGGCATAGTTCTCACAGCTCAGCAGCCTCGGGGGCCCATGGCCCCAGCACTGTTGAATCGGGGTGGGTAATTTTCTGTGGGAGCAGCCTGTGAGGTAGAGCCTCTACATACTGAATGCCAGTAGAAAGCACCAAATGTTGAGTCAATTATGATCTTGGATGTTGGTCTTCATGGAGTCTCTTGTATCGTTCTGGGGGTACCCAGTATTATAATGTTCCTGGGTCTCTTGTGTTTTCTGTGTCTTCAGAGTTGGTCTTTCCAAGTTCTTTTTGGCTTGAGTTTGCAGTTCTGTGGGTGGTTGTGGAGTCTGGGGGGGGCGTGGGGGAGGCTCTGTTTTATTGTGCTATCACTATGGCTGAATCTAGATAACTCTGGTTAGAGGCCTTGGGTTGTGGGTGACACAGAGATCTACCTGCCTCTACTTACAAGTTCTGGAATTAAAGGTATTTATGTGTGTGCGTGCATGCGTGTGTGAGTGCCTGTGCGTGTGTGTGAGCATGTGTGATTAATGTGTGTGTGTGTGTGTGTGTGTGCGCGTGTGTTTAATGGGAGTCTCACCATGTTTCCTGACATGGAGGGATGCTCCAGCCTCGGCCTCCCAAGTGCTGGGAGCACAGGCAAGCATCATGACATGTGTCCTTGCATGTTCTTTGGCAGTAATCTCTGTGGTGATAAGTTTTACAGTCAGAGATAACCAGAACAGGAAGGGGAGATTCCCCAAGCAGGGGTGCACTCCACTCCTACCCCTACTCGGTTTCAAGTGATAAAGTGACCCCATGCCAACAGTTCCCGAGTTTCCAGTACTCCTGCTGCCATTCCAGTGGGGCTCCCAGAGGGGTGGGGTTCCCAGAGGGTGACAGAGGAGCGGCACGCGGGGCCATCCCACAAAGCAGAAGTTTCTTCCACTCTTCACACAGGCCTCTCCTGACCCCTCAAATCTCTCCCGGCTCTGGATTGTTCGGTTTGTACAGGAAGGCCTGTCTGAAGGCCTTGTTTGCTGTCTCTGGAATTAGCTCCAGCCTCCTCCAGCCAGCCACACCCCAAACACGTCAGAACATCATAAACTACGGAAAAGAATCAGCACGCCCGATTCACCCAATACTCAGGAGGCAGAGGCAGAGGCAGAAAGATTGCTACAAGTTCACAGCCAGCCTGCTCTACAGATCAAGTTTCAGGCCAGCCAGGATATAGGGAAAGAGACATAGTTTCCATTCCTTGCAGAGAGAAATGTCAAAAAAAAAATGAATAAAACTACTCGTCTGTCAACCACCTAAACTAATCTCTATTCTTTATGTTCTTGACCTCCTCCCCCGCAATGCTCTCTTCCTTCGTGGTGGGTAATCAGCAAACATTTGGGCAGCCATCAGCTGAGCGAGGCCAGCCCCTTCCTGTCTGCTCACTGTGTATTGCCAGGCCTGGCATATGGTGGATGTAACGGCAGCCAGCATCTGTGGAGGGAGTGAGTAGGGACACTCACCATGTAGCAGGCACTCAGAACATGTCAGCAGATGTTTAAAATGGCCAGTACCCCAACCTGACACTTTTGCACCCTGAAGTGAGAAGATACTCACTTCAGTGTTTTCTTTCAGCTTGGGGAAAACGGCACGTCTCAGTCAGTGTTCTGTTGCTGGGAAGAGACCACAGCAAATCTTATAAAAGGAAGCATTTAATTGGGGTGACTTACAGTTTCAGAGGTTTAGTCCATTATCATCATGGTGGGGAGCTTGATGGCGTGCAGACAGACATGGTGCTGGAGAATTCTACGTCTTGATCTGAGTCAGCAGAAAAAGAAAGACACTAGGCCTGGCTTGGGCTTTTGTGACCCTAAAGCTCACTCCCGATGACACATTGCCTCCATCAAGGCCACACCTACTCTTAATCTTTATAATTCTTTTAAATAGTTCCACACTCTGGTGAGTAAGAATTCAAATATCTGAGTCCATGGATGCTATTATTATTATTACTGCTTTGTTATTTGAGACAGGGTTTCTCTGTGTAGCTCTGGCTGTCCTGGAACTCACTCTGTAGACCAGGCTGGTCTGGAACTCACAGAGATCTGCCTGCCACCACCACCTGGCTATGGGGCTATTTTTATTCAGACTACCACACTGAGGCAAGATGGATCTGCATCGAAGCAGAAGGCTGTGCTGGGACCTCAGAGCAGGAGGGCTGCAGAGAGGTGGAAGCCAGTCTTGACCGTTGAGGGGACACTGAGTACAAGGCAGTCAGTCATGGCAGTTTGGGGAAGAAAGGGACCGGGAGTAAGGGTACCGGTCATGAAGGGTCAAGAGATGAGTTTCTTTTGTAACATTGACCATTAACATTTTACTCTATGCTTGCTTGGAGCTGGCACTGCGGGGCAGAGGCCAGCGTATCTTTTCCCCATGGAAGCCAGGGCCGGAGGCGTTGTACCCAGGCTCTGGGGTGCGCTGACCACCCTGCTGAGTCTCTAGGGTCCCATGTGGGCCGTAGGTAGCTTGGAGCTCATGGAGTCATTCACTTATCTCAGTAAGGATGGGAGGAGGGGTCCGTTCCTTCGGGAAAGCGCGCTGGGATGTGTGGGCAGAAAGCAGCCCTGGAGGTCAGCAGGCTGGGGAAGCAGGTGCTCCGTATGCAGAGGGATAGAGAAGTTGCTGGAAAGGGATGGTCGGGCATGTGGGAATGTTAGCCATGAGGCGGGGGAGGTTACTGGCAGTCTTGGAAGCTCTGTCATGGAGTCTGCACCCTGATAACCGGCGGCCACCGCAGGGCTTTAAGCAAGGGACAAGAGGCATGGTGGGACGGCCTGAGAGCAGGGAGTGGGTTGGAGTTGGAGGGAACCCTGAGCAGCTGAAGACCCTGAACACGGGAGGGGAAGGCGGCCTGTGTGACATGGGAGAGCGGGACGACGGAGGATGTGACAGTTCTAGAGGAGAGATACGAAGGGGTGTGTGGTAGAGGTCATCAGCTACGTGACTCACCGTCGAGTCGGCCTTTCCCTCCCCTGCCTCCCTCTCCCCCACCTGCCTGGTCCTCTGAACCTTTCCTTGGTTCTGAACAGCACGATTCTGTGGGAGACAGGGGAGATGCCCTGGTGGTCAAGGGTGTGAATTCCAGAGTCAAAAGTCCTGTGTTCAAAGTAAGTCCTGTCACTCTTTCCTGTGTGGCCTTAGGCGTGCCACTGACTCAGCCCAGTGCTCAACAGCTGCCCTGTGCTTACAGAAACAAGGTGACCCCACACCCAGACACTTAAAACAGTGCCTGGCATTCAGTGGGTTAGGTGTGGGTTTAAGCATCCTTCCTACCCCTGACTTCCCTGTGGAAGATGAACAGGGGGTGGTAGAGGCCCTGGCAGAGCTATAGAGTGAATGCTATTGATAACTCAGGCTTGGGCCTAGGCAAGTGGGCTTTGCCACTAGGGCGGGCGGTGCCCAGATCCCTTTCCTTGACACTTTTTTCTCTTAGGTCCCTCCACAATGGCCTGGCTGTGGCTGCTCTGTGCACTGCTTCCTGCCTTCATGCTGTCTGGTGAGTGTTAAACTGGAGACCCCCAGCAGAGCCTTGTGGGGCCAGGCCTCACTAGTAAATGCCCCAGCTTGAATGGTCCGCCCTAGGCAGGCCCTGGAGGGCTATAGAGGAGTCTTGGTCTGGGTGGGTGACCTGGGCACAAGGTTCACTGTAAGGATAAGGGTGGGCATCCAAGGGACTAGTGGGTGGTGGGGTGTGGGGTGTACAGATGTTCCTTGCTGTGTGTCTCTGCAGTGACAGCCAATGCGCCACCAGTGTTTGCGAGCAATCTGTCGGTAGTGACTCTGCCAGAGGACTTACCAGTGGGTGAGTAATGAATGGTCCCTACGCTGGGACAGAGATGAGCGTTTATCCCAAGGTGGTCACATAGGCTCAGGCTCCCCACCCATGTCCCAGAAACAGCCCAGATGGTCACATGTGCAGTCATCCCTCTGCTCCTGAGTCTCACAGCTTAAGTTCAGCTGAAATACTTGGGGAAAAGCTTATAGTAGCTTTTATTCCTGCCCTTACTTTATAAACCAACCACTTCCACCATATCTGGTGTTACAGTTGTCTGGAGGGGATTGAGGCAAGGGGGACAGGCTTGGGTTCTACACAAATGCTCCATCACTTTGCATCAGGGATCTGAGTACTCACCGATCTGGGCTTCTGAGGAGGGTCCTAGCCCGTTGTGATTGGTTGATCCCATGGTTGTGGAGGACGGAGAACCTCGGTCGTGACTCCTCACCAGCTTGAGGACAGAGCCCCTCCGACAAGACCCCCACTCACTGGCTCTTGCTGCCCATGTTTCCTTAGGCACCAGAACTGTGTCTGAATCTTAGCGTCACCTTGTCAGAAAGTGTCTTTCTTGTCATAGAGATGGTCATTTAACACAGTTCTTTTTTTCCTTGGAAAGAAAATTTAAAAGCGGCCATCAAATGGGCACTGAGTCTCACGGCCGACAGTGTTCCTTCCACAGAACACTGCACAGTTTTAGTCTCACTGCAGGCCAGGGGCAGGGAGGGAGGCCGGATGGTGCCTGGGGATCAGAACCCCAGATCTCAAGTTGCGTCTGCACCTCTGCCCTCTGGGAAGCTAGACCAGGCCACCCTAGCAGAGGTGGCCGTGGACCTGGGGCAGTCCTGTTCATTTGCAGGTGCCGTGGCCTTCTGGTTGGTGGCTACAGACAGTGATAATGACAAGCTGACCTATGACATTAGTGGCACCTATGCCTATTTCTTCTCTGTCACCCCAGACACTGGGGAAGTGAAGCTGGCCAGCCCTTTGGACTTCGAGGTAAAGAGTGCTGGGGTAGGGAGAGCCTGGAGAGAGGGATTGGGCAGGACGGACCTTGGAGCCGGAGTCCCGGGAGCATGGCTGGGGTCTCACACTGACAGGGACTTTTTCTCCCCACTGCTTCAGACACACTATTCCTTCGGGATCACCATCTCCGTAAATGACAATTACAACAGCCCCGTGAGTTGGAGGGAGAGAGGGGAGGGTGATTGGGATGGGGGATGGGAGCACATCTAGAAGAAATGTAGCAGGGTTCTGCGTAGTGCCCCCGAAACTCTTCTGGCATCTGAAACCACATTTTCTGACTTCACCTGGGCTTTCTCGTCTGCAGGTGCGGAAGGAAATGCGGGTGTTGGTAGGTGACAGAAATGACAATGCCCCCGTTTTCCAGGGTTCTGGATACTCCACCAGCATCAATGAGGTACCCCAGTCTTTGTGGGGTGGACAGCATCCGGGGCACCACTTAGTGGAGCATCTGTCTGGGGAGGCCAGGAAGGACATTGTGAGGCCATGAACCACAGGGCCACAGTTTATAAGCAAGCACCTCCGATTAGGATTCTTTACGTAGGAAAAGGATTCTGAGGGATACACTTTTCCCGTGTTTCTGAAAAGCTGGAGGTACTCTGACTTAGGTGTGGCCGGAGCCCACTGATCAGACCATTACTTGCTGCCTCTGTCCTGAGGTGTGGAGCCGGCAGCCCCGGCTCCAAGCTAATACCTCACCACCCCTGCAGCTTCGGAAGGAAGACTGGCTGTTTCCCTGTTTCCAGCACACACAGGCCTGGCTTTCAAACACTCACGTTGGACCATGTGTTCATTCTAGAGGCAATTCAGAGGCCTAGAATGGCTGGTCTGTGCTGCAGCCCCTTCTTTAGCCAGAGGTACCTCATCTTGACTGTTTCCTGGAGGTGCCCCAGTGCGGCACTTGACTAACAAAGTGTTGTCTTAGGTTCCCAAGGCCACTTGGTGGTGAGAACCTTTGAAGTGGGGTCAGGGATGAGATCTGCTGGACAGGTCCCACCTAGCACCCACATTCTGGACACTGACTCCCCCGGGTGTGAGCTTCAGGACGCACTGTCTAGAGCCCAGGCAGCACAGAGCAAGCTGCAGGGGATGCTTCAGAGGTGTGAAACTCAGTGAAGATGGCAAGGCAGGGCTGCTTCTGGCTTCTCTGAGCAGGTGACTGTAGGTGGAGTTTTCTGTCCCAGCAGCCGCTTCCCCAATAACCAACACAGACGCTTAATAGTAGTTGTAAATGCTCGGCCAATAGCTCAGGCTTGTTACTAGCTGACTCTTACACTTAAATTAACCCATATTTCTTATCAGTGCCTTGCCATGTGGCTTGGTTCCTTTTCTCAGTGTGGCATGCCCACCTTGCTTCTCCCTGTGTCTGCTCTCGACTCTTTGGCTGGCCTCGGAGGCTGAGGGTAGAGGCTGGGGAGTGGCAAGAGACAGGCCGCTGTGTGACTTCTGAGGGCCACCAAAACTGTTTGGACCATATTCTAGGAAGAATGGGGAACTTCCGGAAGTCAAGAGTGTGGAAGTCTGAAACAGGCTGTGGGCTATAGGGAGCCCTTGGGACACTGAGCAGTGGAGTGCCTCAGTCAGGCTGGGTTCCGGCATGTTCTTCCGCTTGTGGTCTTGGAGGACTGTATAAATCAGCTCTGGGGGTACGAGGCGGTGTACGGAGGAGTTTCCATACCAGGGATATTTGGGGAAAGGGGTCCTGCTGCGTGTCCCATCTTTTATTTTTGTTTGTTTTGCTTTTGTTTGTTTTGTTTTTCGAGACAGGGTTTCTGTGTAGCCCTGGCTGTCTTGGAACTCACTGTAGACCAGGCTGGCCCCTAACTCAGGGATCTGCCTGTCTCTGCCTCCTGAGTGCTGGGATTAAAGGTGTACACCACTGCCAGGCTGCCTGTCCCATCTTAATTGCCTGATGCCTCCCCTGAAGGCCCAGCCCAGGGTTGGAATGGGTTGGACACACAGGTGAAAAGTCCCTTTTTACAGACCCTGCCAGTCGGCTCCGTGGTGTTCTCTGTGCTGGCTGTGGACAAGGACTCTGGGTTAGCAGGTTTAGTGAAGTACTCCATAGTGAAGGTGAGTGCTTGAGGGTCCCTGGGGAACCCAGGTGAGAGCTGATCTCACTGTGCCTTATGTCCACCAGGGGGCAGCATCCTTACAGGCAATCGTAGCTCTGGTTTCCCCAGCCTCTCTGACCACTCTCTGCCCCTCCCCCCTCCCCGCCCCACCACAGGGAAATCTCACTTTGCTCAGTTGCTGGAGGAGGGTCCAATCCTTACTCCCACCCCCTTCACCAGCCTCTTGCAGGCTAAAGCATCCACAGCTCCCGGAGAAATCAAGGCTCAGAGAGGCCTGGGTCAACTTGCCCAAGTTCATCCAGACACTCAAAGCACATGTGTGTTGTGACGGCTGGTTTGCTAGTGATCCAACCACTTCCCGAACACCAACTAAAAACTTACTTTCAACCCACTGTAGCAATTATGTCAGCCCAGGGGAGAAGCCAGGGTTCAGAGAGATTACGTGGCTTGGAAGCATGGGCATTTCTGGTCAATGCTGGGGCCCATATGTGACCATATGTCTCTCAGAGTAGGGTTCACGAACAGGCCTCACCCAAGTAGCCTCTGTTGTAGGTGATCCCCAGCACCGACGACAGCAAGAATCTTTTCCACATCCTGCAAAACGGCTCCATTGTGCTGGGTGAAAGCCTCAGCTACAACAGCAAGAGTGCCTTCTACCAGCTGCAGCTGGAAGCCTGTGTGAGTGGGGGTGCAGGCAGAGCCGGGGGCTCAGGGTTGTGGCCCTGGCTTACCGGAGGCATTCTCGCCCACAGGATTCAGGTGGCATGTGGGAGAACAGTCAAGTCACCCTATGCTCCCAGCCAGCCTTCCTGTCCATCTCAGTGGTTGATGAGCCAGACCTGGACCCCCACTTTGTCAGGGAGTCTTACTCAGCGTCCGTGGCTGAGGATGCGGCCTTGGTATGTGCTGTGGGTTGTGAGGGTGAGGGTTAGCGGTGAGGTCTAAGCAATGGGTCAGACGCACTCATCAAACCTCCTCCCAGGGAACCTCGGTGCTGAAGGTGGAGGCCGTGGATGGTGACAAGGGCATCAATGACAACGTGACTTACAGCATCACCAGTGAGAAGCGGGGTGTCCCCTAGAGAGGGCGGGGGGTGAGGGTGGGGCGGGGGTCAGAGCCCCTGGAATAGCTGCTGCAAGTGCCTCCCTATCAGACTCCACAAGGCCCGGGTGGTTCAGCGTCGGGAATGATGGCATCATCACGGTCAGCGGCCCCCTGGACAGAGAGCAGCTGCTCAATGACAACGAGGAAGTGCAGATTCAGGTGACGGTGAGTGAGACTCCCTTCTCTAACCCTCCACCCTAGGTCTCACTCTCGGAGGACTGGCCTCTGCCCTCTGACTTCTGTTTTGCCTCTCAGGCCACTGAGGAGCATCTGAACATCTACGGGCAGGAGGCCAAGGCGAGCATGTGGGTCACAGTCCGGGTGACTGATGTCAATGACCACAAGCCGGAGTTTTACAACTGCAGCCTCCCAAGCTGCTCCTTCAGCCCCCAAGAGGCCCAGGTCAACTTCACAGGCTACGTGGATGAGCACACCTCTGCCCGCATCCCCATCGACGGCCTGACCATGGTGGTCTATGACCCAGATCAGGCAGGTGCACGGGAGCGGGGAGGGGCACTGCTGGAGGAGGGTGAGGAGGGAGGGGGTCACAGACGGGAGAAGGGAGCAGTGGAGGGGGAGGGCAAGCTGGGGAAGAGAGTGGGGGATGAGCGGAGTTGAGACGGGTGGTGGATTACGGAGCACACGCAGGATGATGCGGCGTCCACGGGGAACAAAGGTAGAGACCACAATGGTAATGACGGGGGGGGCACCGGTCTGCGAGTCGTGCACAGCGGAGGTCGGTGCCTACTGTTTGGCAGTGTTTTCTGGGTGGTGCTGAGCAGAAGCAGCGTGGAATGGAGGTTGATGTTAGGTGTTAGGCAGCAGTGGGTGACTGGGACACCGGTGCCGTTGGCTCTGGGCAGCCTGTGGCCTGGGGAAGTGGGAGCATTAGGGGAAGGCGTCTGGTGTGTTTAAAGTGATCTGACTTTAAAGTGAACCACCACAGAAGTGATGGGCCAGGCCATGGTTTGATGGGATTGGGTGCCAAGCAGTGACGCGAGGCTGGTGGCTGTGCCTAGCCGGCAGCTAGCGTTGAAGGGCAGCTTAGAGGGAACAGGCTGGGGTGGGTGTGGGGGGTGAGTGTCGGCTTGTCGGGAAGGCCGGTGGGAATATCGTGGGAGCTGGGGGGAGCGTGGCTTATCCCTCCAGCCCTGGCGACCCTCAGGGCTGTGGGCAGTCCCCAACTGCCGAGGCTGCCTTTACAGAGCTGAATAGCCAGCCCAACTTCCTGCACCTGGATTATTGTCTCGGTCTTTCTGACTCCCTCTGTGGGTCTCACTGGACAGGGCATCTGCAGAAAGCCGGAGCTTGGAGACCGGGGAAATATGCACATAGGGGGTCAATCCCTACTCTACCACCTTCCTTACAGGGCGACAATGGAACCTTCCTGCTGTCGCTGGAAGGCCAAGAGGCTGAAGCCTTCAGCGTGTCCCCAGAGCGAGCGGCAGGGTCTGTCAGCGTGCAGGTGGTGGTAAGGAACTCAGAGATGGTGGACTACGAGAAGAACTCGGTGATGTCTGTGCAGGTATGGTTTGCCAAGGCGCTGCAGGTGACAGAGGCCACAGGCGACCAGGCCCCTATACTGCCGCCTCTTCTTCTGTCTTCAGGTTGTGGCCACTGACTCAGTCAGCAAGAATTACTCTGTTGCCATTGTGGCCATCCACCTTAGAGACATTAATGACCACAGGCCCACGTTCTCTCAGAGTTTGTATGAACTCACCGTGCCGGAGAACAGTCCAACAGGGTTTGTGGTCACCAGCAGTGTACATGTGAGTGACACTGGCTGGCGTGCTGGGAGGGAGATGCTGAAGGGGCCAATCGAAGACTGTCCCAGACTTGGTTCCATTCAGTGTCACTGGTCCCTGCAAGCATGCATACACGCGTGGGTGTACCTGGGTGTGTGGAGTGTGAACATGTGTGAATGCAGATGTGTGCGAACCTTCGGAGTCGGGATGCACGCTAGCCTTGTTGAAGGAGCTGTGTGGTGCCACAGATGGCCCCGCCTCCAGCGTCTTGCCATCTCTGCCTCATAGGCTACAGACCAGGATAAGGATGAGTGGGGCCGTATCACCTACAGTCTGCTTCCAGGAAATGGGTAAGCAGTTAAGGTGTGCAGGGAAGCTGAGGGGGGGGGGTAGGGTGGGAGAGCAGAGTAGCCTGCAGACGAACAGGGTGCTCAGGTGTGTGTCCATTCCAGAAAAACAATTTTAGAAGTGGTTAGTTCTCCGTGACTATAATAAAACACTCGAGGCGGGGTATTTTATAAAGAGAGATATTTAGTTCTGGGGTGGGGCGCCATCCACTGTTCCATGTGAGGACTTCAGAGTATATTGAATCACCCGGTGGGACCCTGCATGACATGGAGAGATCATATGACAAGATCGGAAACCAGAGGAAGGGAAGGGGCCAGGGACAACTCCCCAAAAGGCTCCACCTCTCAGAGGCCCTCCTAACGTCATCACATACTGTGGACCAAGTGTCCGACACCTGGAGGCTTGAGGGCGCTCACAGCACGACCAATCCCCAGTCGTGAGGATGCCAGAAATACTGCATCATGAGATCCTTCACGACTGTGTGATCATTTGTCTGAAATTCAAATGTAAGTCCATGTCCTGTCATTGTATTGGCTAAATTCGAGCAGAGAGGACCTGTTTGAGGTGGATCCAAACTCAGGGACGTTGATGGTGAAAAATGGCTCGCTGCTGGACCGGGAGAAGCAGGCAGTATACTACCTCACACTGCAGGCCACCGACGGCGGGAACCAGTCTAGCACCGCCACACTACAGATCACCCTGCTGGACGTGAACGACAACGCTCCCGTGGTTCGGGGCTCCTACAACGTCTTCGTGCAGGAGGAGGGTGGCAATGTCTCCGTGACCATCCAGGTGAGAGAGCCACCTTGGACCTGGTGGGGAGGTCAGGGAGGGGACTGTGCTGGCCCTGTATGAAGTTGAACTCTACTGCGTGGCTCTGAGGAAGTCACTCAGTCTCTCTGGGTATCTGTTTCCTCTTGGAAAATGAAGAATCACAGTCCTTACTCAGAGTCAGCAGGGCGTGAGATAATGGGTATAAGTTGCTCTGCAGCGGGCTGGCGGGGCTAAACAGGCCTCACAAACACATTTAACATGCACACCCCCCCCAACTCATCCCAAAAAGATTTGATGTGGCTTCCACAAAAAGGAAGGTCCAAGCGAGGTGTGCTGGTGCAGTCCCCAGCACTTGAGTGGCAGGGGCAGGGGCAGACAGATCTCTGAGTTTGAGGCCAGCCTGGTCTACAGAGCTGACTTCCAGGACAGCCAGGGCTATGCAGGCAATGTTTGGAGAAAAGCAAAGCAAGCACAAAACCCAGGATCCGAACAGAGAACAAATAACACAGATGGGTGGCCTCATGGTCCAAAGGTAGCACGAAAACCCAGAACCCAAAGAACACAGTTGGAACACAGCCCCTGGCGGTGGGCTTCCTAGCAGCCGGAGCTGAAATACACAGCTCAGTGGCCAGGTTCCCAGGGTCATACGGTAAAAACCCACTTGTGACTCCAAAGACGCAGGGGAGATCTCCGTCTTTCACGGTGTGAGGCTGAGACTCTCCTGTAGGATGACCCAGCCGGACACCTTTTGAGAAGGGATCTTAGGAGGTCGCCTCTCTGTCTCAGTCCCTTCATTGCTCAGGGGTTGAGGCTCCCTGCAGATGTTTCAAGGTCAAGTGTTTCCGCCATTGCGCTGCCACCACAGGCAGTAGTGGGGCTGCGGTCCAGATGCCCCTGGACTTGCTCCCCCTGTCCCTGGTCTTTAAGAACCCTGTGGGAGAGACGCTTCTGATTCGTCAGAACTGTGGTGCCCTTGTGGATGCAGAGGAGTGCCTGGAGAATTAACTGACCAAACACTGAGGCCCTTCGTGGGGACAGATGGGCTGTGCCTTTGGACGGGCCACCTCTGGCTGCTTATGAAGGGGGCATTTACTGAGCAAGAGCCAACAGAACTGAAGCGAAGGCAATGCTGTGTGATGAACTGGGCAGAAGGACTAGGATTCGCTCACGTCCCGACACCTGCTGTGTCCTCTGCTGAACCCCGTGCAGAGGACCTTTACTGCGGTTAAGGTCCACTTTGACTCCTGTTCCTGGGGCTCCCACTAAGCAACAGGTCTTTATTGATGGTGTTATCTGTGCGGTCAAAGGTAGCAGGACTGTAGGGAGCTGCAGGGGTGACGGCATGGTAAGGAGCTGCAGGGGTGAAGGCACACACAATCTTTGTGCAGGCTCATTCCAGTGTGACCCGGATGTCCGGGGCCCTGAGAAGAACACGTCTGTGCATACGCACATGCCTTTTGTATGAAGCATGAGCCGTTTAAGAGGCACAGTACTGTAGCCAGATGTGGTGATGCATACCTTTGATTTCACCTTTGAAAGGCAGAGGCAGGCAGATCTCTGTGAATTCCAGGCCAGCCAGGGCTACGTGGCGAGACCCTATTTCAAAGAAAAGTTGGGTGTGGAGCTGGAGGGACGGCTCAACAGTTAAGAACACTGTCTGCTCTTGGAGAGGACCCAGATTTGATTTCCAGCACCCAAATGGTAGCTCACAAATGGTTCCACACAAATGCTATACTATATTATAGTATACTAAATTATGTACATGGAGGCAAAACACTCAAATGTGTAACGTGAAAAATCTTTTAAACTTTGAAAATGAGAAAAACATAGTACTAGGCGAGAGATGTAATTCACTTGGTGTGTGTGTGTTTGGGGCGGGTGCTTGCCTGGCATACGCAAAAAGCACCGGGTTCTATTCCCAATACCACGTAAACAGGGTGTGTCGGTGCACACCTGCAATCCTAGACCTCTGGAGGTGGAGGCAGGGGGAACCAGAAGTTTGAAGTCATCCCTGGCTACATAGTGAGTGTGAGGACAGCTTGGGCTACATAAGACCATGTGTCAAACTAACTAACTAAATGAATAAATAGCCCACCGTGTGTGTGTGTGTGTGTGTGTGTGTGTGTGTGAATAAAAAGACACACAGACAGTGAGACAGAGAAGCAGAAAAGGAGCGCGCTGTAGCAGTCATGAGTAAATCGGTCTTTTTTTAATTTCACACTTTACATTAAAAATGTCAAGTCCCTGCATATGCTCTCCCACACCCTCTGGGTAACATCAGCTTTGTGGGAACCTCCACTTCAGGACTCTCCCGGGGTCTGGCTCAGGCCCAGGTTTTGCAAGAAGCACGTAGCAGTTATCTGGGAGATGGACGAGCTCAAGGCTGAGACCAGGAGTCCCTGCTGGCTGTACCCCACATGTCAGCAGGGAGCCATGGCCCGTCTCCCCCTGGCTCCAGTCAATGGTCACTTAGGCCAGGGCGGGAGGGAGACACTGGGCCTGAGGCCTATATACCTGATTCGAGGCCTCCTGTGTTCACAGGCCTACGATGATGACCAGCCAGACACTAACAACAGCCGCCTGCTCTTCAGCCTGCTGCCTGGGCCCTATAGCCACAACTTCTCCATAGACCCCAACACAGGGCTCCTCAGGAATCTGGAGCCGCTGGACCGAGAGGCCATTGACCCAGCCCTGGAGGGCCACATTGTACTAACTGTGCTCGTGGCAGACTGTGGCGACCCTCCCCTCAGCACTGAAGTCAATGTCAGCATCACTGTGGAGGTAAGGCAGCGGCTCTCACACTGCCTCGCTCCTTGACTCCAGCACGAGTCATACTTCCTGCCTTGTACAGCGTGGTAGATGGAATTCAGCATGGCAGACCTAGCCCTGGAGTCAGGAAGACTAGGGGTGAAATCAGCAAGAATGAGTGCAGAGGCTCTGAAGGTGTGTCAGTCGCTCAGGGAAGGCCTTAGCTCTCACTGCCATGTGCGGTCTCACCTGGAACCAAGCAAAGGCCATGGGCAGCTGAAGCTGACTCCTCTTGTGTCTCCTAGACACCAAGACAGGGATGGTGACAACCACTTCATTAGGAAAGCCGGGGCTGCCGGGCGGTGGTGGTGCACACCTTTAATCCCAGCCGTCGGGAGGCAGAGGCAGGCGGATCTCTGTGAGTTCGAGGCCAGTCTGGTCTACAGAGTGAGTTGCAGGACAGGCTCCAAAACTACAAAAAAAAAAAAACCCACAAAAACCCTGTCTCAAAAAAACAAAACAAACAAACAAACAAATAAAAAACAAAAAGAAAGAAAGAGAAAAAGAAGAAAGGGAGGGGCCAAGCGTGATGGTACACACCTATAATCCCAATACCTAAGAGACTAAGGCAGGGTGATCGAGGGATTTTAGTCCATCTTGGGATACATAGTGGACCTTGTGAGATAAAGGAGACAATGAAGTAGATTTCATACTTGCTGGCATCCTGGGAACAAGGTAGAACACTAAAGGAAAAAACGAAGAATTATATTTATTGAAGTAGAGGGGTCCCTTTGCCCCTGGGAGTTTCATACTCTTGATGTGAGTGTCCGAGGCTGCCCTGTTTTCAAATGTGTGAGTCAGGAGGACCACGAGAATTCAGCAGCCCGTGCAAGGAGCCGGTGACACAGGCCTGAGGAGTCCCCAATTAGACCGTGCGCCTCGATGAGCAGAGGCCCCTTCTGCACTTCCAGAAAGATCTCACGAGCTCAGGAGATGGTCACATGATGAGAACTCTTATCTCCGAAAAAGACAAAGGAGAAGGAAGGAGAGAAGGAGGAGAGGAGGAGAGAGAGGGGACAGAGAAAAGAAAGACAGAAGGAAGGGAAGGGCGGGGGAGGACGAGTAGGGAAGGCATGCCTTATCCTAGGGTTAGAGTTCTGTTCCCAGGTCTCCACCCTATGGCTATTCAGAGAAAACCGGCCATCCAAAGGTGCTTGCACGCTGGCAGATTGGCAGGGGCTGGGAGCATCCAGGGCATCTCCCAGGCACATGACAACACTGGGGACAACATGGAATCAGGGATCCAGCTGTGTGTGGTGGTTGAGGACAGGCGTCCAGGACTTCAGATCCCAGTTCAGGCTGAGCGCAGAGCCCGTGTCACGGGTCTGAGAAATGGGACCTCAGACTAAGCCAGATGGGGACACAGACAGGAGCCTGTAACAGTTCTGGGAAGTGGAACTAGAGTAGCTCTGGGCTGGGGGCCAGACAAACAGAAGAAGGACCACTTCCGGGCCTCTCTGGAAGGCTGTCCACACATCTGGAACCTGGGTGGTGCTGTCTGAGGGACACAGAAACAATGGCTCTAACCGCATAGAGATGCTACTGCTTCTCAGATGACTCTGGGGAGGACGGTCCTGGGGCTACGTGGTCCCTAGGACTCAGACCTGCCTCTCCTTTCAGGACATCAATGACAACCTGCCTGTATTCAACCAATCCTCCTATGAATTCTTTGTAAAGGAGAGGGATCCAGGTATGTGCCCTCACGGGCTAGCTGTGCAGATGATGGGGATATGTATCCTAGCGCCACGGGTATTATGCGGGATACTCCTGCTGGTGCCATCCTTTGGTGAGGCAGCACTTGGGTAGGGTACACTGGAGCAGAGTCCGTTCATATCCCATCTCATAGTGAGGCCCATGCTAACAGCTCCATTATAGGACCAGTCCGGAGTGTCTGAGGCCGACGTGGGTAGTCCCTCCCAACCTCTGTCCTTTGTGCACAGGAGAGTTTGTGGGCACAGTGAAAGCCTGGGATGCTGACCAGACAGAAACCAACAACCGCATCAGCTTCAGCCTGTCCGGGACTGGTGTCAACAACTTTGCTGTCCGAGGCAGTGTTCTGGAAGACGGGTGGGCCGAGGGGTACCTCTGGCTGCTCCCCGATGTGAGCTTGGATTATGAAACACAGACATTCCTCAATCTGACAGTGAGCGCTGAGAACCCAGGCCCCCAGGGCTTTGATTCCACAGCCGGTGTCACGGTGGTTGTGGTGGATGTAAATGATGAGCCGCCTACCCTGGATGCAGCCTCACTCCAGGCCGTCTATGTGGCTGAGAATGGTTCCCAGCATGGCCAGGTGGCTCAGGTGACAGCCCAGGACGTGGATACCGATTCCTTGCTGAGAATAGAACTAGTGGACGTCATCTGCACCAAGGATAACGTTGACGTGGGCAGCGTGTGCCACGGCTGGTTCGCTATGACTGCCAATGGCTCGGTGTACATCAATCAGAGCGAGGCCATCGACTATGAGGCTTGTCATCTGGTCACACTGGTGGTGCGGGCACACGACCTCACCACAGACCCCCGCTTTGATGCTTACAGCAGCAATGGTGAGAGGGCCTGCAGGGCCCGGGGACCCACGTCAGCCCTGGTCAACTATGCCACTGCCCATGGGCTTCTGTTCTCCATCTGTCCAGTGGGGATTGGCCAAGGGGCGGGTTGTGGAGCGTGAGAGCATGCACTCAGTGTTTAGTGGGGTGTCTGGAAGCACCTACTGACGGCTGCCATTTGTGAAACAGCACAAAGATAGCACTCCAGAGCTAGTTAAATCCTCGTCCACATGGGCCGTGTTGACAGTGAGCACAGACAGACAGACACACAGGCACCTTAAAATATTTGCTCATTTCATTCCTGCACAACTCATGAGCTAGTGATCACCAACCATCTTAAAGATGAGGAAGCCAAGGCACAGAGTGGATAGGATTTGTTTGTTTGTTTGTTTTGTTTTGTTGAAACAGGGTGTCACTCTGTAACACAGGCTAGCCTCACACTTATAATCCTCCTGCCTCAGTCTCCCAAGTGCTTAGATTTATAGTTGTGTGTTACTACTCCTTGCTCAGAGTGAGTGTTTAAATGTCCAGCTGACATCACACTTACATATTAATACAGACAAACGTAATAACATTTACACACACACACACACACACACTTTAGGCGTGTTGAGAATGGAACCCTGGGTGTTTCTCATGACAGTCAAGTGTGCTGTTGAATGACACCCATTCATGTAAACAATGCCCTGGTCAGCTGGGGAAGACCCTGACTGCCACTCTTGTGTGGCTCCGACTGTCAGCTGTCCATCCTCGGGGGGGGGGGAGGGTGGGAACAACCTTGACAGACAGGAAATCTGGAAGAGGCTGTGGGGCCCCCTGGGTGGGGAGCAGGGGTGGAGAAAGCCTGACGAGGCCCAGGCTCTTTGGGTGAGGACTTGGCTCAGAGTTTTGACTTACGTGACCTCATTCCTCAGGAGACCTCCCCATCGTCATCGAGGACAAGAATGACAATGCTCCCTACTTCCTGCCTGTCAACCAGACCTTTGGTGAATGAATGACCCCCATTGTAGCTACACACTTCGTAACACGGGATTACTCTTAGACACTCCCCCTCTCCTACCCTTGTAAACCCTCTCTAGGCCACAGAGGGGTCCAGTCTACCTCTGTTGCCAGCTTGTGGCTAGAAGGGATATCTGAGTTTTCATCGCAGCTCTGGATCAACTGTTGGCTGGCTCTAAGGCAGGCCTTTCCTCCTCAAGCCTCCATTTCCCCATATGTACAGTGAGGATGGACGCCTTGCCAGCCACAGCCTCGGGAACAGCTGCAGTGGGGTCACTTTCGCAGAGGGATGGGGGATGGTCTTGCGGCGTGGACTCAGCTTGTGGGCAGTGCTGGGCCAGGAGGCGCTGGGCCAGCCTTGACCACCTCTTCCTGTTCTCATGTGTAGTGATCATCCCAGAGCTCGTGTTGCCCAGCCAGCAGGTGGCTTCTGTGCAGGTGAGTCCTCAGCCCCAGCCATTACCAGTCACAGCAACTCCCGGGCACAGAGTTAGGGACCCCGCCTTCCAACTGCCCCTAAGGCATTCAGCCCTAGACACGCCGCTGGGCTCACAACCGGCTGACACAAAGCCTAAGCTGCAGCAGTACTTGCCCAGTTGATACTCTCCCATTCTGTTAATTGTTCCATTTAGCATTCGTAAAAATTTCATGACCAGAAACACCACTTGTAGGCTAGATTTCCCGACGATGCCAGAATCCTTGAGCGTGATCGAGAACCCATAGCCAATTGTAAATTAAAAGGGCTTCTTCTACTTAAATAGCTTCCTGAGCACAATTACAGCAATACTTTCAATTTGTTACGGTGATGGATGTGTGTGTGAAGAGAGGGTGGCCAGGCCATGTAGGGTGAGGCCCTGGAGCTGTCTGGCTTCTCGGGGATTAGGTTTCCCGTGTGCGTGTGGTGTGTGTGTGTGTGTGTGTGTGTGGTGTATGTGTGGTGTGTGTGTGTGTGTGTGTGTGTGGTGTATGTGTGGTGTGTGTGTGTGTGTGTGTGGTGTATGTGTGGTGTATGTGTGTGTGTGTGTGTGAGTGAGTGTGTTGAGACAGGGTCTGACTTTGTAGCTTTGGCTATTCTGGAACTCAAACCTACCTGCTTCTGCTTCCTTGGTACCAAAATTAAAGGCATGAGCCACCACACCCAACTCAGTTCTCAGCTTTGACAAGAGGCCGGTGGCTCCTGGCTAACACTACACGAATGGTATGCCCCAGGCTTGGAAAGGCCCTTTCAGAGTTGAGGGTGTCCTCAGCACAGCTCTTCTCCTGGGGACAGCAATCTTCCCTTTGTAGGTTCTTTCGAGACTCAAGACAGTTCGTTTCTAGTCCTCATGCCAACTGTATGCCCATGTCCCCATTTAGTCATGGTTTTGAATTGTTTTCTTTTGTATGTGTGTGCGTGTGCAGGTACACATGTGCGGGTGGGTGCACACGCTTCTGTGTGTGTATCTGTGCATAACTATGCATATGTGTATACATGTGTGTACATAGATGTATATCTATGTATATGCACATATGCATGCATGTGGTATAGGCAGTGTGTGTATATGCTAAAAACAATGTAGGGTATTGTTCTTTAGAAGCTATCCTTTTTTTTTTAAGGTTTTATTTGTTTATTATGTCTATAGTGTTCGGCTTGCATGTATGCCTGCACACCAGAAGAGGGCACCAGATCTTATTACAGATGGTTGTGAGCCACCATGTATTGCTGGGAATTGAGCTCAGGACCTCTGGAAGAGCAGCCAGTGCTCCTAACCTCTTTTTTGAGACAGGCTCTCCCAGTAGCCTGGAGCTTGCCTATTAGGTTGACAGGCCCCAGGGATCCACCTGTCCCCACCTCCCCAGTGCTGGGATTACATGCACGTTCCACCATACCTGGTCTTTTTATGTGGCTTCTGGCACACAAACACAGTCAGGCCTTGTGCCTACGGGGCAAGCACTTTACTGAGTACTCTTCTTGACCCAACTGGTGCTTTTTAAAAAATAGCTCCTTTTACAACCGGAAGTCCTGCTGTTCACACTGAGCTTGAAGCTCTATGGACCTACTGCATTCTTTTTTTAATGTGTTTTTTTCAAGACAGGGTTGGATCAGGCTGGCCTTGAACTCACAGAGATCTTCCTGCTTCTGCCTCCCAAAAGCTGGGATTAAAGGTGTGCTCCTGCACCCCAACTCTCTGTCACATTGTTTTTAAAGGCGTTAGAATGTTTGTCCCTCCTCCTTGCTCATTTTTGATTCACTAAGGAATGTGGGCTCACATTAATCAGTTCTGAAATGCGGGCTTTAAAGGGAGGATACACACCAAGGGGGTGTACACTAACTAAGGGGGTGCACACTAACACTAAGGGGGGAAGCACACTGTAGGCGCTCTTAAGCCAGGTGTGGCTGTGTTTGTGAGTAGGCGTGCATGTGCTTGGCAGTTGGGGAGAGGAGAGGGAGGCAGGTTTCAGTAAGGGAGGGCTTTGGGTGGGGATCTGCTATATTGGGGTGCATGAGAAGGTACTTGGGCAAAAGTCTAGCCAGGTGTGGTGTAGACTTCTGTAGCCCCAGCATTTCTGAGGCAGAGGCAGGAGGATCACGGAAAGTTCAAGGTCAGCCTGGCTTACATAGTGAGTTCCAGGACAGCCAGGACTCCATAGTGAGACCCTATTTAAAAATAAAACTAAAAAGCACACGCATGTTTTAAGTGGCCGCTGCAGCTTCCGGTCGCGGTGGGAATGGGGAGGCCTTTCCTAGCCTTACCCCAGACATCCACCCTTGCTCCCAGGCCAGAGATGAGGACTCACAACAAAACAGCCTCATCGACTTCTCCATCCCGAAAGCAGATTTCATCTCCAAGGACGGGGCCACCAACCCTGTCCAGGTCTTCCGGATTATCCGCTCGGTGGAAGCTGGCCTGTACACCGCCAGCATAGTGTAATGTGGCCATGGATGGCTGGATGGGTGGGGTGGAGTGGGGTGGGGTGGGGAGCACGGGCTCAGGCAGGGTCTCCATCCTGCAAGGTGTGCAGGTAGGTTTCCCCAGGGCTGGAAGGATGGGTTACAGAATAAGCCGTGTCTTGCCGTCTCTCACAGGCTGGTGACCAACCTTGATTCCACTCTCCAAGGCAGATACCAGGTGACAGTTCAGGCTCAGGACCAGCCTCTTGTGGGTCCTGCACTGGACACTCAGATCACTCTGGATGTAAGTGCCACTCCCTGCCTCCAGCCTCGGAGTTCTGGGCAAGCCCTGCACTTTTCCTTTCTCTTTTGGTTTTATATTTTGCTATTTTAAGACAGGGCCTTACTATGTAGCTCTGCCTGGACTGGAGCCCCTATATGGACAAGGCTGGCCTTGAACTCACAGAGATCTACCTGCCTCTGTCTCTCAAGCTCTGAGATTAAAGGCGTGTTTTATTGAATTTTTATCCAGAATACTTGTCACTGTGAGGCAGACCTGTAATCCCATTGCTTGGGGACAAAAGCAGGAGGAACTCGAATTTGAGACCAGCCTGGGCTATATAGCAAGATCTGGTCTCAAAACAATCATATACCATACCCCTTCCCACTTCTAAGCGATAGGGACTTTATTCTCATCCACACATCAGAGTCAAGAACAGCCAGCATGCAGACAGAAAGTAAATTCTCAGTACACATTAGCTATGTGAAAGACGGAACGCTCCTTCTAACGTCTAGTGATGCTGCTCCTAGACCCAGACTCTCCTTATTCTTGCCGGGAGTTAAGTCAGTTGTAATCTTCCAGGAAGGGTATTTGTCAATCTCTACACAGATTTACAAGGCACAAAGTGTTTAGTCCAGCATGTCCCCTCTCAGGGGTGTTCCTGCAGACACAGGGAGGTACATTGGGGTGCAGGAGAGCACCTGGGGGGAATCAGAAGTGGTGAGGATATGTGAGTCATCCACATGGACCCCTGCACAGTCGCTGGAACATGCAGAGTGGCGAGGGGAGATGCCCAGGATAGCCCGATCGGGCAAGAGCATGTAAGGACAGGGACGGTATAACCACCAGGGCTCTACACGTGTGGCCAAGGAGAAACATGTACGTGTCCCTGGGTTATTTATAGGCAGAAATTCCAGATAAAGTCTCATGAAACTTTCATTGTGTTGGTCTCTTTAACGCAAGAGCTGGGATGATGCTTTTGTATGCCCTCTGTGGTGTCTGAATTTGGGTTGCGGGTGAACACTGCACGCGGATGTGTGTTCTGAGAAACATGTGCGGTCGGCGATCTTGTGGTCGCCCTGTGTTTCTGATGTCTCCTCTCCACACCCCCTTTTACCCTAGCTCTTCACTGTGGACCAGAGTTACCGTGTGAGGCTGCAGTTCTCCACCAACAAGGTGGAAGTGGGTGCCAACGTGGAGGAGATTAAGGCGTAGGTCTGGGAAGGGCTGTGGGAAGAACAGGGCCTAAGGGGCTAGTCCTGGATAAAACACCCCTCCACCCTGTCCCTGGCTACATTGAACTTGTCCCTATCTTTGATCCGGAAGCCCATGCTCAGTCAAAGGTGGAGTGAGCATGAACAAAACTGTCGTGTACAGCTGTGGAAGCCATGCCCTGGGGAACAGGGGTCCAGGGAAAAAAAGGTTTCCGTCTCTAGTTTGTGCAGAGGCTTCAGCTCTTTAGTGAACATACCTTCCCTCTGCACGGCTCCACTGACACAGCCCTGGTCACAGCCCTGGACTATGGCCCCACTCCACGGATCTGTAACACCTGCATCTTTGTAGGGCTCTTGTCCAGGCGACCAGGACCTCTGTCTACGTTGTGACGATCCAGAACATAGACACTGCGGCTCGGTGAGTGTCCCCAGGCGCAGGGGCTGGGTTGAGGCGACAATAGTTGGAGAGGCTTGTGATGTTCCTGGGCTATTTATGTGTCTGTTCCAGGGCCCAAGTCCAGTCCTACATGGATGCCTATTTTGTTTTCCCCAATGGGTCAGCCCTGACGCTTAACGAGCTGAATATGTGAGTGGGGCTGTCTGGGAGGGCGGGCAGGGGAAAGCAGATCAGGAAGTCCCCAGGGGAGGTCGGTGGCCCTGGGTCTAAGCGGGGCTCCGTGGCAGGATGATCCGGAGAGACCAGGACGCACTGACGCAGCTGCTGCAACGGGGCCTGGTGGTGGTGGTGAGTGTGGTGGGGTCAGAGGTCATGGGTGGGGGGGCATGGATCCCGCAGCCTCCTCACCCTCCCTCTTCTCCAGAGCTCGCAGGAGACCCAGGAGTCCGATCAGCCGAAACTGCTCACCAGTGTCATTATAGGACTGGTGGTAGCATTGGTGCTGGTCCTCGTGATTTTCATCACTGCCATCCTGTGTATGCGGAAGAGGTATGGCTTATGTGTCTCCCTTTGTCTCCAGCTCCCTCCTGGCCCAGATGCCCGATGTATGTGGCACCAGGGACATGTGCAAGACCGCCTGTCTCCTTGCCTGCAGAATTGGTTTGGCACTAGGTTCCTCCATGAATTTGGGGCAGAAATGTTGAGCACTTCAAACCGTTGCCATTTCCCCTTCCCAGAACACAATTGGTAGCTTCCCCTGAGTTCTCCTCTAGGTATCACTGTTGGCTGCCTCTGTGGTTCTTTGACGACACATTCCCTTTGCTGGTGGTTTCTACTCCCTATAAAATGCAGCTAAAATCATCACCAGCCGGGATCCTTGTAAAGTCACAGTCGAAGGGCCCCCAGTAGGCACTAGGTGATTGTGTTCCAAATGTGACTTCCTCCTGGTTCAACAGTTACCACCGGAAGCTTCTAGCTATGAAGGCTGGCAAGGAGGCCCGGAAGACACCAACAGAAGCAGTGACTTCAACTGCTGCTCTCCCTGGGACTAACGTGTACAATACTGATCGGTGAGCATGAACCAAAAGGGAGCAAGAGACTTTGTAAGATGGTTGGAGGCCATGGTTGCTTAGCCGAACTTTCTCCCCAGAGCCAACCCCATGCTGGACCTCCCCACCAAAGATCTGGGATTGGAGTGCCTCTCCTCCGGTGACTTGGACAACGTCAGGTGAACAGCGTCTCTCACTACCAGACTAGGTGTTGGTAGCAGGGAATAAATGGTGATGAGGGATAATGGTGATGGTGGTAGTCATGGTGATAATGGCAATGGAAATGTTGGTAGCAGGGAATATGTGTTCACAGTGCTGATGGCAAAGGCGGCGATGGTAATGGGGATAGTGGCAGTGATAGCAGTGGTATAGGTGGTGACACTTATAATGTTGGTGGCAGTGATATTGGCAGTGCTCGCGATGGCAATGTTGGTAGTCATGGTAATGGCGGTGGCAAGGTCACAGATTGGGAAGGCTGGGTCAGTTTGCTAACCATCTAAATTCTACCGCTTCTCCCATAGCCTCAATTCCCTAGACAAAAATGCTGTGGACTTGGACGCAGACAGTAAGAAAATCAAGGTAGGATGGGGGATGAGTTGGCACCTGGGGCTTCTGACTTGAGGCTTCTCTGGGGGGTGGGATTCGGGGTGAATGAGGCCCGGTCCCTGTTCCTCCCTAACGTGCTCTTTGGTGAACTGCTTCTCGCTTTTGGCTCTTTGTTCCTTTCATCTGTAAATGGCAATGAAAACATTAACTCTGCAAGGCTGACGTGGGGATTAAGTCAGAGCAAGCACGCAGTGGAAGGGTAGGGCACTTGCCAAGGCTCTGGGTTCAGTCTCCAAAGTAAAAACAAACAAAACGACAAACCAATGAAAAGAGGGAAGAAAAGGCCTATTTCTGGTCTCTACCCAAATGCTAGTAGGTGAGGGAGAGATCTGGACACGAACAAAGGCAGCAAAGGGGAAGAGGGAAGCTCAATCATGAAGCGACACCACTCCTCGTTATCTAGGCTAGCTGGTTAGCTGGTTAGCTGGTTAGCTGGTTAGCCGGTTAGAGGTTTAGTTGCTTAGTAAATGAGATAAGGAACGCACAGCTTGGAATCACCTGGGGAGTTCTAAAACAACTGATGCTCATGTCACATTCAGATCCTGATCCCGATGGCCCAGCGTGGGACAGGGTGGCTCGGAGCAAGGATACACTGCCAAAGCTCCCCAGGGCATTCTAGTTCCTTCCCTGAGCTTTGTTTTGCAACAGGGTCTTACTGTGTAGCCTAGGTCAACCTCACACTTTCCGTCCTCCTGCCCCAGACTCTTGAGTGGTGGGATTACAGGTACGTGTTGCCTTGTTTGACTCTTCAGGCAATTCCGATGTCTAGGTAGAGTGGAGACTCACAGGAACTGGTCAGTGACCTCAGGAGGGGCTCTCTAGAGGAGACCCCTCCTCCCACTGGAGCGGAAGGTCTTTGGGGCCCATTAGCCGCAATAGTTCATTTTCGGGGAAAGAAATGATGTTTGCGTTGTCACACCACCCTTCCCCCACGGGCCCCAGCCTACCCGTGCTGCAGACCTTATTCTCCCTGAGGACTCTTGTCTTTCTTTCTTTCTTTTTTTTTTTTTTTGAGTCAGGGTCTCTCTATGTAACCCTGACTGTCCTGGAACTCAGTCTGTAGACCAGGCTGACCTTGAAATAGGAGATCTGTTGGCCTCTGCCTCCCGACTGCTGGGATTAAAGGTGGGCGCCACCACCACTGGTAGAGGACTAATTTCTTGGATAGAAAGGTTAAGCCAAAGCTTCTCTTGGGCTTGTACAGGAGTCCAAATGTATGATGATGAAAAATCTGGCATGAAGACTTCTAGATGTGCTCCCAAGAATGGGGATCTTGGGTAACAAGCCAGGCAGCCCCTGTGTGTGGCCCATCTCTGTGTGAAGTTCTCTAGAGAACTTCTCTGACGGAACTGAGGCAAAAAAAGTTCAAGGCCCCGAGGACGGCATTGTGGACTCCCCTCCAAGAGTAGAGTCAGGGGTTCCTGATTGACCCGTGGGCTGGGAAACAACAGGACTTCCAAGAGAAGTGTCTGGAGAGAGGGTGTGACTGGCTGAGGGACAGACAGGTTTTTTTCTTGAAATCCCTGAATGCATGACCTGTAAGGGCCCTGTAAACACTGTGTATAAGGTGTGAGTAGCCAGGAAACCATCCAATCCCCCTTGTCAATCAAGTAGCGGGGACACAGACGCTCAGGGAGTGCTGTCTGGCTTAAGGCCTGACAGCCTCCAGAGTAACTCAGCTCAGAAGTTAAGACTTTAGGTACGGGATGCGGGAGTGGGGGGACTGTTATTTTATCTAGTCCAATGCTGGTCGGTTGCTTTGGGCTCAGGGTCTGACTAACCCCTTCCAGGCTCTTGCACACTCCACTGTTTACCAGGGAGGGTATCATCCCCAGGCTGGAAAAGTCCTTCTAGCATCCAGGGAAGGTAGGGGTGACTCGAGGCTGTGGCCTTGTGGAGGAAGGGGAGTGGTTGCTCAGCGGAGTAAGTAGCTCAGGGGCTGGGCCCTCCCTATGGAAGGCATGTGTGAGGAGGAGTGTGGGGTGGTGGGCTGTGTATGACCTCACATGGGGAAGGCAAGAGGAAGGGACAGCAGAGATGTGAGTCACGACAAGGAACAGGTGTAGCCCTGGGTGGCATTCATGAAAAAGACAGGACACGGCAAATTCAAGCAGAACCTAGTATTTTACTGTGGACATCTACAAGAATGGTTGCCCAGTTCCTGCTCTGCCTCTTAGCTAGGGCGAGCCTCAGCTTCTATCCCTGCTCAGCAGGGCGTCTATGGCTCTGTCAGGGCATTGGCCGCCCTTGCCCAGCGCATGGCTTGCTCTGGGGTACAGGTGACAAGAACTGACAAGGTTGCTCTTGGGCCTAAGACTGGGCAGAATGCTAGAACACTGTTCTCTTGGGGTTAGGCACAGGCCAGAAGCCCACCCCACCTGGCCACGGCTGTTTCTGAGGCACAGAGACCCCAACAGGAGCGAGGATGAGAAACTCTAGCTAAGGAACCACCTGGTGATGAGTGTAAAGGCCCAGGCTGTCCTAGGGTCTGGGGAGAGAACCCCATCTTCACCCTCCCCTTCTTGTCTCTCCAGAAGCCGCTTCCACACAACTCACCCAAACCAGACCCAGAGCCCCTGAGTGCAGTGCTCTCGGGAAGGCATTCGGGCACAAGCGGACCAGAGCAGAGGGATCTGTCCTTCACTAATCCTGGCCTGGACACCTCAGATCTGTGATGGAGACCTCCATTCTTCAAGTGCAATCTGTGCTGCCTACCTTCCCCTAAATATAATATATGGTCTTTCAATCATAGACAAGAGTTGGGGAAAGGTTTTATTACCAATGTATACTGTGACAGTTAGTAGCCAAAAACAGGGCGCTCAGTGGTTACAAGGAACTTGTCGGGGCTCACAGCATTGTGTGTGTTGAGGGAAGATGGGAGATAGGAGGTGAACCTTTAAAAGACAACTGTGGGTGTCAAAGGAGCTCTCCACCCTGTTCCCAATACCTAAGATCAGGTGTCGCCCAGGCTCCCAGTGGCCTGACACCTTTCATGACTCTCCCCTCTCAGCCGAGCCCCGGGCAGTCCTAGCCTTTGGCCTCTATGGGAACTGTGCATAGTGACTGGGTAGGAGAGGAAACAGGGCACTGGACTAGATGGGGAGACAGGGGAGGGAGTAGGACTACCAACAGCATGCAAGAGACACCCTGGCCGTGGGGCCAGCACCATGTGGAGACCCCTCACCGCTCAGAGACTCACCGCCCCCCACCCCAACCTCCCATTCAGAGTTTGCCTTTCTGGTGGCTTCGTATCGATCCTGGCACACGTGGAAGAACACTTAAGCGTGCAGTCTTTCCCAGTTCTGGGGACCTTGGCCCGCTGGAGGCCTCAGAGCGTCAGTCTGGCCACCTCAGGAGCCTGCCTGGGCTCTAGGGTGGAGGGATGGGCGCAGGCACCCGTGCTCTCCCACTACTACCTGAGGGAGCGGCGCGAAAGGCTGCGAGGGCACCGGGGTGGGGTTGTCAGGGTCGGGTGTGTGGGCTCATGGCCACAAAGGGACTGACTGGGCAAGGGGTTTTCGTCGGTGTTTGGGAAAGGAGGGACTGGAAAGAAGCCCCTGAAGGCCGCCTCGGAGGCCTGGCGCACGCGGGGTTGGGGATGGGGCGTAGCTTTCAAGGACTTGATATCAAGAAGGGAGCCTGAGAAGGTTGGAAACCCGGGCCTACAAAACGGGGACAAATCACTCGGCTGTGGGGCCCGCCCGCGAGCAGCATCGCGGCCGGCGCACACTCTGCAGCAGCGCGCGGAAGAGGCCGGGCGGACGCTTGGCGGCGCCCTCGGCAGGCGCGGTGCGCACGGAGCCTGCACGGCCTGGGCCCGCGCGGACGGCGGGCGGCGGCGCCGGCGCCCCTTGGCGGCCGTGCTCCTCTATCTGGCGCTCCAAATGCTTCTGGATGGCCATGCCCAGCACCTCCACCTCCATGGAGGCACCGTACACCTCCCACGTCATGCCCTTCTCGTCCCAGCTCACGTCGCGCACCGGCTCGACCGTCTCCTGGGGTGCCATGGCGGCCGCCAACACGGAGCCGGGCCGAACCCGCACCTCGGGGAAGACGGGCGGCGCGGCGGGCGGTGCCGCGGCCTGCGGAGTCATGGGCCCGGTGGCCACCGAGCGCGTCTCGGCGGCTCCCAGCGACACCTGCAGGCCCGCGTCCCGGCGCGACGGCGGCCTGGGCGCGGGGCTGGGCGCGCGCGGTGCCGCCTGGAAGCTGAAGGCCGGGGCGGCCGCGCCGTCCTGCGGAGACATGGGGCTCACCGCCACCGAGACGCAGGCCTGGGCGCCGGCCTGCGTGCCCGCGTCCTCGCGGGGAGGCGGCGCTCCCGCGTCCCACGACGGCGCCTTGGTGAAGTTGTCGCGAGTCCGTGGTCCTGGCGGGGGCGCTGTGCCCTCGGCGCGGGGGCTCTTCGGAGCCGCAGCTGCCGCTGGGTCTTTCTGGCTGGTGCTGGCGGAGGGCTCTGGCTCTGGCAGGGCCCCGCTGCTCCTGGCGTCTCCCAGAGGCTGGGCTGAGCTGCAGGGTGCACCATCTGATTGCCTGAGAGAGGACTTGGCCTTCTCCAGAGGCAGGGGGGCAGTCTCTGCCGACGCTTGAGACTCTGCTTTTCTCGGAGATGGAGATGCGGAGTCAGCCTTCCCCAGGGACACAGGCTCCATAGACGCAGTGGGGTCGACTTTTCCGGAGGGATCCATTTTCCCAGACACCTGTGGCTGCTCTCTTTGCGAAGATGGCGCTGCTTCCACCGTTCCAGGGGACGAGGCCCCTGGAAGCTGGGTTACCACCTTGACCCCAGACTTGGGCTCAGCACTCCCCGAGGCACTGGTGGAATTCACAGGATCCTTCCTTTCTGGAGCCTTTGCCTCTGAAATGCCTTCTGCTCTCTCTGAGGCCATGAGATCCACCTTCCCTGGGGACACTAAACCTAGTTTTCCTGAAGCCGTTGGGGCCACTTTTCCTAAAGGCGTGGAGTCCATTTCTTCAGAGGGAACAGTTTCTGCCTTTCCCTGGCTTGCAGAGCGTTCCTTGCTGAGAGTGAGGGGATCAGCCTTCTCTGGGGCTGTGGGACTTGCCTTCTCCAAGAACTGTGGGTCTCCTTTCCCCTCAGTCACCGCCTCAACTTTTGAGGCAGACACGGACCCCCATGTCCCCAAAGACTTGGCATCTCCTGAACTTGAAGACACGGACTCTATCTTTCCTGAAGACTCGGGATTCCCTTTTTTGAGATGTCTTTATGTTTCCTGTGACACTTGTGTGATCCACCCTTCTAGAAGACCGTGAATCCTCTCTTCCTGAGGATAGGGTTTCTGTCTTTACCAGCGACACACGTTCTGCCTGCCCAGAAGACAAGAGTTCTGGTTTCACTGGGGACACAAGCTCCATATTTCTTAGGGAAACTGGGTCCATGCTGCCTGAAGGTCCTGTGCTGTTCACAGATGTGGGTTCTGTCTTTGCTGGGAACACACCTTCTGGCTGTCCAACGGGTACAGTTTCCGCCATTCTCACAGACACAGGCCCTCCCTCTCCTGAGGAGGGAAGGCCCTCTTTTGCTGAGGACAAAGTTTCTGTATTTCCCACAGCTGCAGGATCCACCATCCCCAAGCATACAGGATTCACCTTTTTGGTTCCTGAGGATCCAAGTTCTGTCTTGCTTGATGACCCTGGAGTTGACTTCCCTGAGAACCCAGAATCTGTCTTTTTTGTGGATGCAGGGTGTGTCTTTTCTGGAGGTTCCATTTCTTTTCCCCCCCAAAGACACAAGATCTTCCTTTCCTGTAGATCCAGGGTTCTCTCTTCTGGAATACGTGGGGTCCTCCTTTCTTGGATCCACTTTGCCTGAGGATACAGGCTCTCCCTTTCCTAAAGACCCAGGATTTTCCCCTCCTGGAGTCGCTGTATCCACCTTGCTGGAGCACATTGGATCTACTCTTCCCAAGGACACAGAATCCTTCCTTGGGGCCGCACAATCCATCCCTCCAACAGCCCCAGGATCTCCCTTTCCACAGGTTGCAGGCTCTGCCTTTCCCATCAGCATGGACTCTTCCTTCCTCAAGGGCCCAGCCTCTTCCTTTCCCGTGGAAGCAGAATCTGGCTGTTTCAAGGAGTTGGACTCCATCTTTTCCAAGAACACAGGATTTCTGTTCTCCGGGGCTGTAGGAGGAGCGTCTGCTGAGGATGCGGGCTCTGGCTTCCCTACCAGAGTCTTGTCAGAGGCTCCTGGGATCAAGGCTCCATGCCCTCTCACTGCCTCTGGGAGAGGGTTGCAGGAGGGAGAGGGGCAGGCTAGGCTTACAGCGGGGCTCTCAGAGAGGGAGGCCCCTTCCCCAGCCCCGCTGGGACTGCCGCGTCTGGAGTCCATGCCTAAGCTGTGGTCAAGGGTGTGCCTTGGGGATGCGGGGATGGCCTCTGGGGATGAGCAGCAGTCCCTCATGACCGGGCCCTCAGTGCCCAGGCTCCCATCCTTCTGTGGCTGCTGGAACCAGGCTGGGTCTTCAGTACCGCGCATCTACCTTCACAGGCGTGTTTGTGCTGGAGACAGCTGTCTGCCTCTGAAACAAAGCACAGACACAGGCTTAGGAGACTCTCCAGGGGGAACCACCCAACCATGTCAGGCTCCTTACCGGATTCCCTGTGTGGTCTCTTGTCAAGAAGACCTCGGCTAAAAACATAAACCCAACCCTCTCGCTCCCTGCATCATTTCATCCAAAAGTTATCTAAGACGCCAGCACTCCAGCACTTGGGGCACTGAGGCAGGAGGATTTCTGGTTTGAGGCCAAGCTGGGCTGCACAGTGAGACGAAGCCTCAGCAATACAGACAGACAGACAGACAGACAGACAGACAGACAAACTGACCCTTCACAGCTTGGCTCCAATTCGACCTTTCAACTCCACTACCATTTCCTCACCTTTGTCCGTCTCTGACGCATTGTCTTCAAGGCCAGTGACTGAAAACTTCTGATGCCACTGGGCTAGATGGGTCATTTAAGCGAAGGGGGTAGATTGCATACAAAACACGGGGGGGGGGGGTTGCAGTAGGGCATCTATGGCAAATTGTAGAGTACATGGATTTTCAAAGAGGGGCCAAATGCTGACCTGGAGAAATGAACCCTGGGAAGCCTAGCTCTCCTAGTGTCTTAGGAAAATGAGACATCCAGACTCTGATGTAAAATATGCTAACTAATTCAAGATTTAAATAAAAACCCCAAACACTATGTGGGCCAAAGAAAACATGTCTGCAGGCCACCAGTTTATGTCTGTGTAGGCCTGGGGAACTGTGAGTGGGCTGTCAAGGAAAGGGCATAGTCACGTGCTTTCAAAGACCGCTCTGAGGTGGTGTGGCAGCTGGGCTCAGAGCAGAGGAGAGCTGGCTGACACCCACGAGGAAGCCACTGAGCCTCTCATTCAAGTGATCTTCACTCATTCCCATAGCCCCTGCTATGCCGTGGACCCCAGGCAGCTACACCGAGGGACTCGTGGAAGACAGTGCCCTGAAGGTCTGAAGAGCAGGTGGAAGGCCTCAGAGAGTGGGAGTGGGGGTGGTCTGCAGAGTTCTGGGTAGGCTGGGGATTGCTGGGCAATAGCACTGAGCTGGAGATGGGAGGAGCCGGGGATGTTTGGGATGAGTTTGGGATGCCTGGGGAGCATTTGGGAAGAGGGTCGGGCAGGCAGATGGACTCGGAGACGCTGCCGTTGCTCATGCAGCATCCAGAATGAGCAGAGACGGATGGTGACTGTTTCTTACCTGCCCCCAGACCATCTCACCCGTGATCAGGCCAGAATCTCTAGAGAAGCAGTTCTCAACCGGTGGGTCGCGACCCCGTCGGGTTGCATATCAGCTATCCTGTATGTCAGATATTTACATTATGATTCATAACAGTAGCAAATTACAGATATGAGGTAGCAGCAAAAATAATTGTATGGTTGGGGGTCACCACAACATGAGGAACTGTATTAAAGGGTCCCAGCTTAGGAAGTTTGAGAACCACTGCTCTAGAATCTCTCTTAGCTTTCATATACCATGAGCCACCTACCGGCAAAATAGAATGAATCTGCCTTCAAACATATCCAGAATCTGACTTCCACCCTGGGTCACCACTCTGCACTAGATTCCCCTTGCTTTTCCTTCCCCTGTCGAGTTTATTCTTTAAAGCTGTCGGAGGAATCCTAAACCCCAAACAGGTCACGTCTTTCTGCTCAGAACCGCTCAGCGTCTCCCCAGCTGATACGAAGAAGCAGCAAATACAGGAACTCATGAGACTGCATTGGCTGGTTCTGTTGTCTCCTTTGGCCTTCCTTCCTGCCTCCCCTCTCTGAGTCTGATTTTAACGTCAGTGGGCTACCCTCTGGTTCCTTAAACACCCACCCCTCTCTGAGTCTGATTTTAATGTCAGTGGGCTACCCTCTGGTTCCTTAAACACCCACCCCTCTATGAGTCTGATTTTAATGTCAGTGGGTTACCCTCTGGTTCCCTAACCACCCACCCCATGCCCTTAGGGCCTTTGCACTGGCCTTTTTACTGCAGGTACCTGCATGGTCTATTCTCTGAGGTCTTTCCTGGCCCATCCTGTATAAAACAGCCATCTCCAATGCTGGCTGTCACTCTCCATCCACCGTGTCTCTCTCTATATATAGATAGTCTCACTGTGTAGACAGTGTGTGGCTGGCTTGGAACTCTCTATGTAGGCCTCGAATTCTCAGAGATCTGCCTGTCTTTCCTTCCTCAGTGCTGGGATTAAAGGCACCACACCCAGCCTTGTTTTACTGAAATTTTAAAATCCAGACTACTCGTTACTGTCTGATGTGTCATAGATACATGTTCATTGAATGCCAGCTCCACGGTGTAATCCCGGTGTTGGTGACAAAAGTGGGAGCTTGAATTTGAGGTCAACCTGGGTTACATAGCAAGACCTGGTCTCAGAACAAATCATAACACACACACACACACACACACACACACACACACACACACTTCTAAGTGATAGGGACTTTATTCTCATCCACACATCAGAGTCAAGAACAGCCAGCATGCAGACAGAAAGTAAATTCTCAGTATACATTAGCTATGTGAAAGACAGAACGCTCCTTCTAATGTCTAGTGATGCTGCTCCTAGACCCAGACTCTCCTTATTCTTGCCAGGAGTTAAGTCAGGAAGGGTATTTGTCAATCTCTACACAGATTTACAAGGCACAAAGTGTTTAGTCCAGCATGTCCCCTCTCAGGGGTGTTCCTGCAGACACAGGGAGGTACATTGGGGTGCAAGAGAGCACCTGGGGGGAATCAGAAGTGGTGAGGATATGTGATTCATCCACATGGACCCCTGCACAGTCGCTGGAACATGCAGAGTGGCGAGGGGAGATGCCCAGGATAGCCCGATCGGGCAAGAGCATGTAAGGACAGGGACGGTATAACCACCAGGGCTCTACACGTGTGGCCAAGGAGAAACATGTACGTGTTCCTGGGGTTATTTATAGGCAGAAATTCCAGATAAAGTCTCATGAAACTTTCATTGCGGTGGCCTCTTTAACGCAAGAGCTGGATGATGCTTTTGTATGCCCTCTGTGGTGTCTGAATTTGGGTTGCGGGTGAACACTGCACGTGTGCTGCAACCGCGGATGTGTGTTCTGAGAAACATGTGCGGTCGGCGATCTTGTGGTGGCTTGAACATCACGATGGGTTCTTAGTACAATCCTAAACAGTATGGGTCAGAAACTCCCTGTGGCTTCAGTGAACTTGAGATGATACTGGTGATACAGCATTCTGTCTATAGTCAATTAAAAATACTTATTTTAAATTACATGCAGGTGTTTTTCTGCATATAGGTATATGTACATTGTGTGCAGAAGCCAGAGGCTGGAATTACAGGTGGTTGTAACACGGATGCTGGGAACTGAATGGGGGTCCTTTGCCAGAACAGTGTTTCTAACCAGTGAGTCATTTCTCCAGCCCTATATCAGCTTAAAAAAAAACAAGAAGGGTTCACACTAAAGCAACAATGAAGAGCTGTGGATGTAGCTCAGCGGTAGAGTGGTTGTCTAGCGTGTGCAAGGGCCTGGGCTCCGTCCCCCGCACTGCAAGAAAACAAAGTAGCAGCTTCATACTGTACGTCCCCTAAACCAGCGATGCAGCCACTGATTGCCACTGTCGGGTGTCACCCTGGTGCATCGCACACTTTCTTTTTTTTTTTTTTTTTTGGTTTTTTTTCGAGACAGGGTTTCCCTGTATTGTTTTCAAGGCTGTTGGTCCAGCCTGGCCTCGAACTCACAGAGATCCGCCTGCCTCTGCCTCCCGAGTGCTGGGATTAAAGGCGTGCACCACCAACGCCCGGCGCATCGCACACTTTCTGCGTCCCTAGGACTGGCAGCACTGTAGGCTGCTTGATACTGGCATCGCCACGAACAGGTGAGGGGCACCCGGTGCTGAACTTTAGGAGGTAGGTGAGCTCCAGCTCCATTTTGCATGGCTGCCCCTTTTTGAAAAACAGGAACGTGAAAGAAACCTTTACCGGTTCTTTGGGAGGGTGGACATCTCCTTAGTGCACATCTAAGCCGTATACATTCACTGCCTTTCTTTGTTGGTATTCATTTTTCATTACTTACTCTCACACCCAAGTATACACACACACACACTCACACACACACATACACACACACACACACACACACGAGTGACTGCTTTTGAACAGTCATGGCTTGGCGTTCCCTCCCGTCTCAGCCTCCACACACCCTCTGCTGTAGGAATCTTCCCCTGCTAGACAGGCTGTGTCTTATTAAAGTTTTAGTCCTCAGCTTAAACGTCCCCTCCTCCAGGAAGCCGCCTTTGCCTACCATCTTCCTCTGGAGTCTCATGGCCCCTTCCTATCCCGATATCCAGGTTTCTGTTGTGTCCATTTAACCTGAGTCCCTGACTGGTCTTCAGGATCCTGATGTGTTTCAGCTGGTACTGTTCACCACTGAATTCCCTAAATCTCAAGTCTGAGGGTTGGGGGGATGGAGGTCACCACAAGGATGGACACACAGAAAAGCAGTCTTGCTGACGACTATAGGACCCTCGGTTTTGGAGAGCTGGACTGGGCACCTTTTTAATTTATGGGGTGTGCGCAAGAGCCAAGCGGGACAGGGGTCTGGTTGAATTCTTGGATCTGGTCTTCATCGGTAGAGATGAGGGTGTGGAAGGACACCAGCGTGCAGGGACCTGGCAGGCACGGACGGGTCTGTCTTCATTTACTTTGCCCACCGACCGTGACATGGAATAGAGCAAGGGAGATGTCTGGAGACCCGAAGCAAGAGGGACCCCGGTACCCTCAAGTGGGGGAGACTGGAAGGAGTCACAGTGGGGACGGTGACAAAAACAGAGACTGCTGGGTCTTAGAAAGTGGTAACAGCACCCAGTTCCAGCCCCTGCACCCACTAACGCAACGCTCACCGGACACCTGTGCAGATTCCACGTGTTGGGGATAAGCAATGTAGAACCTGTGGTCCCTGACCCCCAGATATGGAAGAGAATGAGGAGAGGGTAATAGGCTAGTAGTAAATAAATGATGTCATTGCTGATATGAGATGCTCTGAGGACAAAGGAGTGGGCAGCTGGTCTGGACACGTGGTCCAGAAAGGCCCCTGTGAGGAGGTTAACATCTGAGCCAGCCATGAAAAGGCCAGAGAGGCTGGAGTAGAGCTGGAATCAGGGAGGAAGGGGCAGTGGCAGCTTTGGGGTGGTGAGGACTTATCCTAAGGGTACTGAGCAAACACTGGCGTGCTTCAAACAGGAAGTGTGTGTGTGACTGTTCTGTGACCAGGTCCTTAACTCACTGAGCAAAGTCACACACATGGACTTTTTAAATATTTTTCATATTGGCTCGGTTTTTTTTTTTTGGCATAACATGAAGGCCAAACAAAACAATTGCACAGGTCAATTTTGTGACCCATCTTGTCCTTGGGGTTGCAGAAAGGGATGTTATAAGCCTTAGTATCTGGGCAGATGGGCAAAAGAAAGTACTAGAATTCCGGTGAGAACCAAGATCTATTTGCCACACTTGCCTGTTTCCTCCTTTGAAACATAGGAGCAATTACACATGGAGGGAAGTACAGCCTGCAAGGGTCAGAAAAGGCTAAAGGTGGGGTGCCCTAGCCCCCCACCCTTTATTTCACACTGGTAACCTAGCCCACCCTAGGGGTCTCTCCGCACCAGCTCCTGGGCAGAAAGTGCAGACACCTCACCATCCGGCGGGCCTGAGACTTCAAGCAGCGCCCTTCTCCTAACCCCACCCCAAGCCGACTCATTGCCTTCCCCCCCAAGCCTGTGGTGAGAATTAGAGTAGATGAAGGGTGTGCACGGTTCTGCTCACATTAGGGCCAGGCTGTGTACATGGAAAACCTGTTTTTATCTAGTCAGTCTGTCAGGGCCCAGCTGTGCTCCCAGGAGGGGATGGGGGCGGGGGGCTGAGTCTGAAATGGTTGCAACAGAGACAAAATTCAGCAGAATCTGGCTTCAGGAGATGCTTGTTTGGCCTACAATGCTAACAAATTATTTTTTAAATCAGTGTGTGTGTGTGTGTGTGTGTGTGTGTGTGTGTGTACCAAAGGTCAACCTTGGCTTGTGTTCATTAGAAGCTGTCCACCTTGTGTTTTGGGATAGGATCTCTCGATGGAATTTGGGGCTCACCCATTAGGCTCAGCTGGCTGGCCAGTGAGGCCCAGGGACAACCCTGTTTCTGGCTCTTCAGGTTTTTTTTTTTAATGTGGGTGGAGGAGATCAAGCCTCTCTAGCCCCTTAAGTTGATTTCAAATAAAGGAGCAAAGTCACCAAAATCTAAACATTGATAGAGTTCATGTGGAAATCAGATGTCCAGGTTATTCTGGCAAACTAAAATTTGGCAAGCTGACCGTGCTTCCTGCAGAGCAACAGCCAGCTGGAGCTGAGAAGAGTGGCCTGAGGGAGGCAAGCAGCCACAGTCCCCACCCTCCCTCTGGTGTCCTGGACAGTAAGGCTAACTGTCCACCGCCGCTCCTCACTGAGTTTGGATGTTTTTCTTATCATCAGATCCTCATGTATGTTACCTTCCTGCCCTGTAGCATCTAAGTTTTGACTTTTTTATTCACACGCAGGAAGCGACTTTGCCCAAGTGCGTACAGAGCCCATACACCCGTCAGGCAGGTGACACGCTCCTGTTTTCCAAGAAGGAAGTGGAAAGTCCAACAGGCAGGCACGGCCGGATGTTACCATGCCCCTTCTGCAAAGCCTCCCAGGAAGAGGTTGGCCTCCCAGTTCCCAGTTCCAGGCTCTCAGCATCTGAGAGTGGATTGGGCCCACTACAGGGAACAGACATCTTGGCTAGATGTGGGTCAAACCCTGACTTGTTCTGTGAGTTTGTATGGGGTTTCCCACTCTGGGAGCCTCACTCACCCATTCCAATGACCCAAAGACAAATTCCAAGGAGTGCTGCTCACAGTTCTGGGGTGGGGGTTCATCCTGGCTGGAGAGGAAGTCTCAGTAGCCTCCAGCCACTCCTCTAAGGCAGCCCAGGCCTAGAGTCCCACATCCTCTCCCTCCACCCTACAGCTAAAAACACCTCCATTACCATCCCACTGCAGCTCATCCCTGAACCCGGCACCCTCTGTCCTTAGACTTCACAACAGTTTCACAATGGGGCCCTTATCATTTCGCACCATAGATGAGGATACCAAGTCTGAAGGGAGGAAGACTGGGGTTCACAATTAGTTGTGTCTGAGCTCAAGCCTGGATTCTTCCCAGTCTATCAGTCAACATCCAGACACTAATGCTAGGCTCTTCTCTCTCTCTCTCTCTCTCTCTCTCTCTCTCTCTCTCTCTCTCTCTCTCTCTCTCTCTCTCTCTCTCTCTCTCTCTCTCTCTCTCTCTCTCTCTCTCTCTCTCTCTGTGTATGTGAAGGTGGGCATTCTCACAGAAGTCAGAGGACAGCCTCGGGTGTCAGTCCTTCCCTTCCAATGTCTTCTTGCTGCACACCTTCAGCTTCTAGGGCTTCTCCTTTCTCCCATGTCACAGCTGGAGCCCTGGGATTACGGGGGCATTGTTTGCCTTTAGATGGGTTCTAGAGATCTGAACTCAGGTCCAAAATCTGGCTCTTAAAGCCCCTTTATTTTTGGCCTAGCCAAAGATCCTTCAAATCCTATGGTCCTCATAGGCAACAGTACTTGTAAGCATGCATAGAGGAAGCCAATGTCCCTGAGTCTACACACATGCCTTCGGGAACACGCACACCCTATGGACACATGGCTGCATAGGAGGTGTGTGTAAGGAGGTGTGTGTGGTCCAGTCTAGGTAGGAGGCTGAAATGACCGTGCATGTGAATGGGCCAATTAATTTGGTATGCAAATGAGTGGACGGTTTGTGGAGGACTGCACCAGCTCAGGCCAGTCTGGGCCCAGGACCTGGCTCCTGTGTCCCAGTTAAGAAAAGCTTGGTGTGCATCTGTGCCCTGTGGGGGCTGCTGGACCCTGTGGGTGTGTGTGTCTGTCTTACATGGCTTTACAGTTTCAGCCTGGGAGAGCTGGCCTGAGTGTGCGCACAGGCCCTTGTGTTTGGCTCACAGGCAGGGCAATCCTGTGCGTGCAGATCCACGGCTAGCCTGGCTTTTCTTTTCCCTCTAGGATCTCTTCCCAGTCTGGAGTCATCTCTACACCCCCGGTCAGGGCCAGAGCTGCCAGGCACCTGCAAACATCTCCTGCTATGGTAACAAGACTGACAAAGGCTTGTGTATGCCTGGGAGTGTGACTGAAAAATCTCAGTCTCCTGCCACTTGTCCCCTCATCTCGTAGCCCCACAGCAAAAAGCCTGCTACCACAGGCGAAGGACTCTGCAACAACAAAAGACCTTCTTTGAGAAGCACTCCCCAGACCATCTGTCCATTTTTCCTTCCACCAGCCCATAGGAGGGCAAGGATGGACGCCCAAGGCTGTGTAGACTTGTGCTAACGTGGGCTGAAGAAGAGCGCCAAGGTGACAAAGCAAGGATGTGCCAAAGGGGCATGAGCACAAGCTGGCCGGAGCGGGGTGGTTGGACGCCGACTAGAGTGACGCTGACTTGATTCAGGATGGATGCTGTGAGTGCATAGCCCCCACTGGGTGCACCGGGTGGGTGTACAGGTGGCCGGATGTGAATGTCTGATGGAATGACCAAGGGCCATGGTTGTGTGTGTGTGTGTGTGTGTGTGTGTGTGTACCTGTGGCCTCGTCCAAAAATGAGGTTCCCAGGCATGGTCGCGGTGTGTGACCACGTCCAGGAGTGTGTGCCACATTGGGTGTGTGACGAGTGGGATGAATCAATGAGATCAGCCCCTCCCCCCCCCGTGGCGGGAATCGCCCCCTCCTGCATCCCGGTGTGGAACAAAGCGGGCGGGCAGCAGCGGGGCTGGACGCGGGGCGGCCTGCCCACACCAGAGGCCCGGGCAGTGCACCGGGGCCCCGCCCCACTGCGCCCCGCCCCGCCGCCCCCGCCCCGCAGCCGGAGCCGGAGCCCGAGCCCGAGCCCCGCGCGGTCCAGGACCTTGGACAGCGACCCCAGCCCGCGCGCCCCGCCGCCCCACGCGCGCCCGCCGCTTACCTGCGCAGGCTCCTCGTAGCTCCGGTTCGCGCCGCGCAGACCGCCCCGGTGCTCCCGGCCGCGCTGGCGGGCGGACCCGACTCCGCGCTGTCCCTGGTCGGCTGGGCGCCCCGCCCCGGGCATGCGCGCTGGGCGCACTCGAGAGCCGGGAGGGGGCGCCGCGGGGGCGCGCGAGGGCCGGCAGACGCCGCCTCGGCCCGGGGGCCGCGCGCCCGCCCGCTGCTCAGCTGGGAGCACCGCGGGCGCACGAGCGGCGGCGACACCGGAACCCGGGTCGTCCCGATCTGCCAGCTGGCTAGGCGAGGAAATTTCCCGCGTCCCCCTTGGCCGCACTTCCGGCCTCTGCGCCCCCCCGCCCCGCCCCCGGCCCTTTGTCTAGCTGCTGCCCACACTCCGGCGAGTGTCCGCCCTGGGCTGGGAGGCTCCCCGCATCCTCCCTGCAGCATCCTTCCCTACGGGGAGTCCGCCCACCTTCTGGTCCGGGTAAGCCCGGTCCTCCTCCTGGATACCCTCCAACAATTCATCTCACCTCTTTGAGCATCAGTTTCTAGTCTGTAAAATGGGACTAGCATTAAATCTCCTCAGGGCGGTCGTAAAAATAAGGTGCCTGGTGTCGATGTCCAGGGCTTCCAAATGAGTCAACTGCAGAAGGTGTGAGGACTCACTGCCCATTTCCCTCTACATCTGAGGAGAGGACCCTTCCACATCCGCCTCTCAAATGAGAACTCTGGATGTCTTGGAAGTGATAAGAGATCCTTGTGCCTCAACTGTGAAAGTCACCAGCTAAAATAACAACGAAGGCAAATGAAACTCTTAATCAGGGATACGGACCTAAAATTTGATTTATAGATGTGGATGACTTTCATGTCCGGTCACTCAAGAGCGAGGGAATAGTCTATCCACATTTTCCAAACACCGTTCCTTAGTAGGTCGAATTGGGATTGCAAACTTACACAAGTCACTTCTCGCAGCTCCACACGTGGGCTTATGTCTTAGGAACCACTAATTATCTGATCGCCTTAACTTAAAATGAAAAGAAAATCTAGATGGCAAGGGAGGATTTAAAACCCACAGGAAAACCTAGGGGTCGGGACACTGCCTCTAACCCAGCACTCGGGAGTGTATGTCAGGTCACTAACCCTGAGTTCTGAGCCAGCCTGGGATACAAAGTAAATACTAGATAAACCTGGACAAGACTGATCTAGTAAACACAGCAAGGCTCTGTTTCTAAAAATCTCAAAAACAGTGAAATTCATGATACAGACCGCTTCACTGGAATACGAGAGCGGGGCCGTTTTTCAGGACCGCGGACAGCGCAAGGTCTCTCTCTCTCTCTCTCTCTCTCTCTCTCTCTCTCTCTCTCTCTCTCTCTCTCTCTCTCTCTCTCTCTCTCCTGTTATTGGTGCTGAAAATGGTTCTCCGACTGCTCAAGAGGGTACTTAATTAGCTTCAGAGCTTACAGACCCTCTTCCACATTCATCATTCCATCCCTCACCGGCCACCCCTTCGGGGTTAGGGGCTCTGTGTCACGGAGGAAGCATCTGAGGCTTAGGAGGTCCACAAGACACCAAAAGTGGCAAGAACCAGCTGTGATTGGCAAGATTCTCCCCACAGGCAGAGTGGTGCTGGAGCAGAACCAAGCGACGGTGGCAGTGTTTCAGGCGAGCACTGGTGATAAATGGGCCTGGAAGCCTTTGCTGGGATGGATAGTAGGTGGCCTTTACCTACTTGGGGGACATGGACCGGCCTTAGCCATGAGGTGGATGCTGAGAGAGACGCCTGCTGGTCCTCTGAGGCTCTACCTTGTGGATGGAGGACATATACTGTACGGGTGTTGGAGGAAGGAGGTGCTTGTGGGATGACTACCCTAAGATACGGGTCCAGAGCTGAGTTCTAGAGCTGCCACAGCTGGAGGGACACCAACTGGGTGCTGGCAGCCATGGGGGTGGGGAGAGAGTCAGCATACGGAGGAAGGGCGTCAAACAAGCAGGCAACCGTGAGAGCCCCAGCACCTCCCAGGGGACGACAGGCTGATGTGAAAACTGGAGGAAGGAAGGGCAGTGAGCAAAGAGACGTCCTTCCCAGGACGTCTGCACCCTGAGAAAGAGGGGAGCTTTGGTGGCGCGCATCTGTAGGTCCAGCACTCAGGGTGGGAGAGGACACCAGGAGTTCAAGATCCAGCTCGGGCTCCATACGATCCTGTCAGGAAGAGAAAGGAAGAAAGGGCGAAATGGGCGTGGCAGCTGCCACAGAGGGGGATGTTGATGAGATGGGAGGGGCCCAGGGTGGAGGGAAAGATGCCAGCAAGGGGGCGGGAGTCTGGGGGGGGAGTGAGATGCACATCCTGGGGGTGAATATGGAAGGCGTGAGGCTCATTTGGGAGGAGCTAGGACACCAGCAGGGAAGGTGAGAAGGTGACCCAGGGAGGGGAAGCAGCCAATATGAGGTCACATGGATGAGCAGCACCTGGGTCTGCAGTGAAGTCTTGGAAAATGGAGTAAGTGTGCACTTGAGTATTCCTCTGGCCACGGGCAAGGGATCTGGGTACACACGTGACAACATTTGGCAGATGTTGCTTAGGGGCTGCCCTGGGTTATTCATGGCGATGTGGTTTCTTTCTGGGCATCCTATGCAAAATGGTCCCAGCAGGCCGAGTACTTCTCCTTGATAAAGACTCAGGTAGTGGATTGTTGGAGAGTCCTCTTGGTGAGCACATCTGAAGGCTAAGGTCAGAGCTCTGGCTGTGTCTGTTATGAGGTCACGGTCAAGGCCTCTTTCCATGTGTTCCCTGCTGTGCCTTATGGCTGCCTTTGTTCCAAAAGGACTTGTTCATTAAACTGTATTTTAAAATTTCTGGGTGGGCTGGAGAGATGGCTCAGAGGTTAAGAGCACTGGCTGCTCTTCCAGAGGTCCTGAGTTCAATTCCCAGCAACCACATGGTGGCTCACAACCATCTGTAATGAGATCTGGTGCCCTCTTATGGCATGCAGGCATATGTGCAGGCGGAACACTGTATACATAATAAATAAATAAATCTTTAAAATATTTTCCGGGCAACGAAACACTTGCTAGAGCGGATGAGGAACAGAAAAGGGGCAAGAGAGCAGCTCCTGTGTGCTCAGTGTTGGCATTGCCAGTTGCTAGCTTCGAGGTCTCTGAGCCTCATGCCACCATAGAGAACACTAGGCTTCCAGAGGTCTGCAAGAGCCCAGCACAGTATAGCATTTGTGGAGAACACCACTGTTAATTGCAAGTCTCACACAGAAGTCCTTTCTCGTTGTGGCACCCCCACTTCCCCTAGGGGATTACTTCTGGACCCATCTATGGAGTAGGTAGTGACCCAGATCTGGCCAACCACTATCCAGCAATTCATTCTGGGGATAGGGTGATGTAGGGGACCAAACCCAGGGCAAATGACTCTCTTGCTTTTCTGTAATTTTAGGTGTTGCTATATCGATGACGTGCCTACTTGGAGCTTTCTGGGGCATTACATGTCTCTTTATGGAGACTCTCCCAAGGCCTGGAATTTGGGCTCACCTTATACTAAGCGCACATGGTCACCCACACCCATGTGCGTGTGTCTGTGCATGCACACCTGTGCTTGTGCCTCAGGTTGGACTACGGCTGGGGAGCCGTACACATTTGTATGCACCGGGAGATAAACAAGTGCCTGCAGCTCCTTGGCGGATGCCCAGACTGGGGGTGGAATAAACAATCCCAGTGACTTTTTGAAAAGGGAGCGTGTGTGGCAACAGGCACCATGGAGACAAGCAGACTGTATCAGGGCAGAGACAGCAACCAGCCCCCATGCCACTCCGAGTGCCTGTGTGCACATGCTCACAAGTGTCACTGTGTGTCTCATGTTTGCCCTCCTTCCCTGTCATGTCCATGTCATGTTCATGTCTGCCTTAAACAATCACGTTCCCACCCAGGACTGCTCACTCCTGGGCTCTAGCCAGATAACCTCATTTCAGCTTTTCTTGATGCTGAAGGCTTTGGGAAAGCTTTGAGATGACCAATTAATAACATCCATAGTTCCTGTCCCCTTTGCCTGTCCTCTGGTTCTGATCTAGGTTGACAGCTTGTAGCAAATCAAAGCATCCAGGGATGGTGTGTGTGTGTGTGTGTGTGTGTGTGTGTGTGAGAGAGAGAGAGAGAGAGATGTGTGTGTGTGTGAGAGAGAGAGATGTGTGTGTGTGTGAGAGAGAGATGTGTGTGTGTGTGTGAGAGAGAGATGTGTGTGTGAGAGAGAGAGAGATGTGTGTGTGTGTGTGAGAGAGAGAGATGTGTGTGGTATGTGTGTTTGTGTGTGTGGTGTGTATGTATGTATGTGTGGTGTGTGTGTGCCTGTGTGTGTGTGTGGTGTGTGTGTATGTGTGTGTGTGATGTGTGTTTGTATGTGTGTATGGTATGTGTATGTGTGTGTGGTGCGTGTGTGTGTGTATGTGGTGTGTATGTATATATGTGTGGTGTCTGTGTGTGCCTGTGTGTGTATATGGTGTGTATGTATGTGTGTGTGGTGTGTGTGGTGTGTATGGTGTGTGTGTGGTGTGTGTGTGTGTGGTGTGTGTATGTGTGTGTGGTGAGTGTGGTGTGTGTATGTGTGTGTGGTGTGTGTGTGATGTGTGTATGTGTGTGGTGTGTGTATGGTATGTGTGATGTGGTATGTAGTATGTGTATGTGTGTTGTGGTATGTGTATGTGTGTGGTGTGTGTGTGGTATATGCATGTGTGTGTGGCATGTATGTATATGTGTGTGATATTTGTGTGTGTGGGTGGTATGTGGTATGTGTGTGATGTGTGTATGTGTGTGTGATATGTGTGTGTGTGTGTGGTATGTGGTATGTGTGTGATGTGTGTATGTGTGTGTGTGGTGTGGTATGTGTGTGTGGTATATGTATGTGTGTGGTAAGTGTATGTGTGTGATATGTGTGTATGGTATGGTATGTATATGTGTGTGTGATATGTGTGTGCATGGTATGTGTATGTGTGTGACATGTATGTGTGATATGTGTGTGTGGAATGTGGTATGTGTATGTGTGTGATATGTATGTGTGATATGTGTGTGTGGTATGTGTATGTGTGTGATATGTATGTGTGATATGTGTGTGTGGTATGT